AAGCTGTGATCTCTAAGGATTGTAAGTATAATACTCGTAGGTATGACATGTCATATCGTTCAAAACAAAAATATATTTCAAGTTATTTGATCTGAGATTTCAAGACGCAAAATTCCTCGTTTTGAAGAACGTTTAAAGATAAACACCCCATGGCCCCTCCTGGGCTGGTCTACTTCGTACGATTACAAGTAGATAATTAAATTGGAGTTTGCGAGTTCTTACTACTAAATCAACCCCATCCACTTCTGTAGTAAAGACGAAGTGAGCTAAAATTATCACCAGTGGTTATCAAAGTGGCTAACGTGAGTAATCACCTTATTACGTACCTAAACTGTAAGCACACCCACAACAGTAGCCATGTATAATCGCCTCGTCGTCTTCACAGCTGTGTGGTGGACATCCATTGCACTGTATGCCAAACCAAAGCCAGGAGAGAACTAAAAAAACATATAGCCAAAGTTAAGGTGTGTAAGATGTGTGAAGATTATTATCAAAGCTTTTTTCTTCCTAGAAAAAATATTTTTGATACATTAATATATAAAGTGAGTACTCATTTGTATTTGTGAAACCTGTGAACTGCAATAAAAAAGATAGGTTGCTACACGATAGTATACCTACTTAGTTTATGTTGAGAAAGGCATGATGTTGTGCACTATAAATAACTTACTAGTTACACATACACAATATTTTCTGAAAATTCCAATAATAGCTTAATTTAAATCTTCCAAACATCCACATGCGACCTTAGCCGTCGGTCGTCTGTGGGTGGATGTTTGGAAGATTTAGCCACGATCTTAGCCAAAGTAAACAAAGTTAGATAGGTATGATACCTATCTAACTTTGGCATTTTTTTTAAGATTTTAATTAATCTATTATTGAAATTTTCACATGAAAAAAATGTGTCCTCAAAACGGTATTCTTTATGTAGAAACTGTACAAACATGAGTAAGTTATATCTACTTATACATACATCGTGGAGCTTTTTTAACAGCTCTAATGCCAGTGTCATCTGCAGTTGGTAGAAATATCGAGAAAGCACTCTCAGTGACGCACATGATAAAAATAGTCCACACCAATGTCCTATATTGCCACATTATTTAAAAAACTACCAATAAATGTTGTTATTCCCTTTATATATTGACTGGGTACTTACCACAAATGGAATTTTAAGTAATGAGTATTATAGGTCAGTGCTACCAGATAAGTTAATTAGTTTCCTTGAAAAATTATTACCTACTTTGTCACAGAAATGCCTTGAAAAGTTAGGTACTCATAATCATAGAAAGCACGAGTTTCTCATTTGGTTTTAGTTAAGTACAATTATTATTGTAAATATACTTACTTGACCAGCCAAAATACACTTACTTACATAATTGTAAGTGTATTTTGGCTGGTCCAGTCTTTAGTGACCCTAAGCTAAAGTTCGTGGGTTCGATACCCACCCAGGGAAAATAACTATGTAAGTAGACAATTGACGGGCTTGTTGGTCTAGTGGTTAGTGTCCCTGACTGCTAAGCCGGAGATCGTGGGTTCGATAATTTGTTCTGTAGATACAGAACAAATTATCGAACCCACGATCTCCATATTATACGTATATACGTACATAATAATACGTAGACACATCTTACACTGTCCGTCAGAGCCTTTACTATAGTAACCGGACTGCTGATAAACATACTTATATATTTCTAAATACGTATCTCCATATTATAGATAAAATTTACCCAGATGGGTAAATCTGTGTACTGTGGTCACTGGTCTGGTCTGCACTAGGAGATCTTTATGACAGATTACCAGTCTCTTCAGACTCTGGACAGTTGGTTTCAGGTAAATAACAGAACAGAACAGAAGAAACTAGATTGACTGATAGAATAATTATATACTTTTTTTTGTAAATACATATGTACATTTTATAGATAGAAAACACACAAACTCCGAAACAAATATTTGCAGATCATACAAATATTTAGTCCGACCCGGGCATCGAACCCAAGATCTCAGCACAGCGTCGCACCACTGCACCACTGCAAAAATTTGAATGTTTTATAAAGAACAATACCTACTACGTATTTGTTTAAAAATTATCTCAAAAACTAAACTAAACAATAGTGTATCATTCGGATCCGTCTGTGTAAAGTATACTAATATTCTCAAAATCATTTAAGAGGGCAGGTTCACGACAAAGGTAAAATAAAAACTGATTTATAAAAAAAAGGTTTATTTTGCTTTATATCGAACAATGTAGTATAATATAATATAAATTGAGTAATAAATTACAAATGACTTTTGTCTACTGTTCAAGGCATACACTTGGTGTGTAACCTACAAACATGAATTTAAAATTCAAAAATAATTAAATACAAAATTCAAATTTAACATTTAAAACCATATCACAGTTTAAAATTTAATTTAAACTTAACGCAATATGAGACGGTTTTTCTACACTGATCTTTTTTGCTACACTGATTTTGCTCAAGAAATAGGTAAATGTTTTATAAAAACTGTGTTGCCATCTTTAATTAATAGAAAAAAACTCGATTTATAAGCAAACATATTTAGTTAGGTTTTAAATATAATCTTAATTGGTTTCTTTAATTGATTTTCTTAAAATTCCTGTTCAACCCAATACTGATTTTAGAAGTTGGCAATGTCAATCAGACGACCCTGGTTAGGTTACAGCCCAAGTTTTAGACATTTTATCATTCTATTAATAGATATTTAGAAAGATGATAATGAACCATCTCACATCGCCTTCACTTAAAAATCAAAAGCAGCGAATAATATTTTTTATTTTATCACAACATAAATGCGTGCCCATTTTGAGCACTACGACTAGATACACATCACAGAGTGCTGGTACATACACTAAGAAGAAACGTCATTATGTTTAACAATAAACCTGAAGGCCAATTTTCGTAATAAAGGTTCGTTCAAAATTCAGGGTTGATCAACTCTCGATCTCACAACTGTTATTAAAGGTATTTTCGTAGTAAAGTATTGAACATACAACGTTAACTGTAATGTGATTATATTCTATATTATCTTTATTACTATATTATATTGTGACCGAAAGTTGAATCGGACTTTACTAATTGTCTACGAAAATTTCTTTTGTGACATTTGCGAGATCAAGAGTTGATCGGAACTGAATATGGACAGAACTATTATTACGAGAATTGGCCGATATCGAACCATACACAAAATTAAGTGTCGCAATAAACGAGCGAGCTTTGGAGTAGTCATGTATGATGTGAACAGCTTCTTATCTTTAACAAGATATTTCTATAAATGTTGAAAAGGCCTTTTAAAAAAAATTGACGTTAACATACTTTAATACATATTGTTCTTTAATACTCCTCCGTTTTAAGTCTAACGTTATACATTCTGTGACTCAAAAAACCTAAACTCACTCATTTAAACACCAAGGTAAGGTCGCAAACAACGAAATTGAATACTTTGACATCAAAATTTTCATACAAAAGTTTTGGCACTGTACTCTTAAATCTAGACTAGTCGTGACTATGTACTATGTTATTAGTCGAATAAAAGGGTCGACTTACAATAGTTTTCTGAACTATGTGTAATTTTTATATGTGTGTGTAATTAAGTGACTTATTTTAAAGCAGACTTGACTTTCCTATTGTTCGTTTGTGTGTGACTAGATTACATTTGACACTTAGATAACAGTTGCACATTTACATTGGTACATATTTTCATTAATGCAAGTACCGCGGAGGTGTACCCTATAAAGGATAGGTACGGCAGCCATGTTGAAACCGCGGTTCGAAATTCAAAAGATGTCCTACTTTATAGACCAATGTAAATAGGCTCTAAAATACTTATTTAAATTACATTCTATTAAAATTTTGGCACAAACCACACAACACCTAGTTCCACAACATTTAAGGAAGATATTTGACTCAAATAACATTAAAACTAATATTTAAAACTCTCCGATCGTTACCATACTTATTTAGCGTCAATGATTTCTTAACATAATCACAATGTTAATAATAATATATTTTTTATTTATTTATTATAAGTAAAAATTTACAAATAATGACAGTGACTCATTTGTATTTTAATAAAATTAACAACAATTAATAAACGCTTAAAATCATACGTACAATATATATTACACAAAAATAATAAAACAATATTAACAAAACAATAATTTTAACGAAAATTAATTATTTCAGCAGCTGGTACAGTCGGGTCTCGATAATAATATCCTGTTTACCAAGCCACTGACACACACAAATATTAAAGCAGAAAAATTTGTTTCAACACAGTTGTTCAAAGTTGTTCAAAACAGGCATTCTGTATCAACTAATATAAATTGTAGTGATACTATTATATTGCTGTATTTGTTCAAATAACAAGCTCCTATTATACCTGCTTTTAGATAAAGTTTGACTACGTGCCACCATAAGAGTAAAAGATTTATAATACTTTCTTTCGTAAAAATAAAAGTAGTAATAATTCCAAAACAAATGTTTATTGATTATTATTAATTAAATAATTTGTGTTTAAATACATTGTTTTCCACGACTCTACATACGCATATCTTGCTTGAGAGCTCATTTATATTCTCTATTGAATAAAGAACACTCGCCATTCTTTTCATTTTGCCACATCTATGAGGCGAAAATCAGTTAAACATATTGGATTGAAAATATCTCGGTATGTTTTCTTAGTTTCTTCTGACGCCTGTTTTGTAAAATTGAGCAATGCAAATATGAGCAGATACTTTCAGAGTACTCAATAATGATTAAGTTTCCGGTGACTTTTCCACCCGACCTGGTGCTAGCTGTAGGCCTCTCGGGGTCTCCGTACCATACCATACCAGACCACCACAGTCACCTCAAGACCCTAGCAGGCGTCTACGAGAACCACCAAGAGAGTCAATAATGATTCAATATTAATATCCTTTTACTGAAACATAAAAAAACTTACAACAGCAATAGCCACAGACAAATTAAAGCATTATCTTCTGTTCTTCAAACGGAAGCTCTTTCAATAAGTTCGGGCGCAAGTGACAGCGAAGCGCGGGAGCGGAGGCGATGTTGCCGGGTCGTGGGCAATAGAGCCCCACCTTCACACTGCTTGTTACCCAAGCAGTTACAAGAACACACCTATAAAGATCAACAATTATTCTATCATAACTTTATTATATAGTAATACTTAGTTTTTTTTAAAAGGCAACTCCCGCCTTAGGAATACGTCTACACTAATATTATAAAGCTGAAGAGTTTGTTTGTTTGAACGCGCTAATCTCAGGAACTACTGGTCTGATTTGAAAAATTCTTTCAGTGTTAGATAGCCCATTTATCGAGGAAGGCTATAGGCTATATATCATTACGCTAAGACCAATAGGAGCGGAGCACCAATGAAGAATGTTTATTGCGGGGGACTTTATAAACATACATGAAACGGACACAAAGAACACCCAGACTCAGAACAACTTGTTGATCACACAAAGTGTCATCCCATGTGGGGATCGGACCCACAACACTCAGCGTAGTAGTGAGCGCCGTGGCGACCGCTTAAACCACTACGCCATCCGTGCAATCGATATTTGTACTATCGTATATAAATATTTGTACTACTCGTTTCTGGAATACAACTGTTTCCAATAGATACATATATTAGGTTATAACAAGAGAATGTACACACAGAAATACATTTAGAGTTACCGAATACATAAGTTGGTCTGGTGACCCAGACTGCTACGCTAGAGGTCGTGAGTTCAATTCCCACCGAGAACAAATAATCGTGTGATGAGCACGGTAATTTGTTCTGTGTCTACTTTATCTATAATATGTATGTATTTAGAAATATATAAGTATGTTTATCAGCAGTCTTGTAACCATAGCACAGGCTCTGCCAAGTTTGGTATCAGACGGCCGTGTGTGAAATGTGTGAAAATATTATTATCATACTTAAAATTACAAAAATTACCAGTTTTATCTAGACTTTTATTCATGCTGTTAAAATGGAATCGTTGACCGCGGCTTCGCTGGAGTTAATATAGATTTTGTATACCAATGTTCTATCTAACTAAATACTAGATCTTTCTTACTGGATGACTAATACCCTATTGTTTGTTCTCTACCACTGACACGTATGTCAAATTCACCATGATTGGGTGAGTAATTTACACTTAAAGGTCTAACAAACGAAATACATCAAAAGAGCATCAGTAATTTCCTAGGTCATTCTCACATCCAAACTTACAAATTTTCAATCTATACATTATTAATATATATACAAAAGCATTGGGCTACTTACTGACGCCTGGTCATCATGAGATCGCAGTCTCCCAGCTAGAGGATGTTCATCTATAGGCAAAAGAATTCTGGACCCATCTTTGTCTTCATCACGAGCATTTTCTTCCGCTTGCCTTGAATTAAAAAAAAAAAATTGTCCATAATTTTTTTTGCACAAGCGATGAATTTCACTGCTATTTTTGTAATTCGAATTCCAGATTTCAGAGAATTTAACCGTAAAGAGTTCTAATATAAACAAAAAATATCAACTAGCGTTTAGATATGTCATCATCATCAACAGCCTTTAATATTCCACAGCTGGACATGCTGGTCTCTCCTTAAAAAGGAGGTTTTGGCCTATTGTACCACGCTAGCCAGACTTGACCAGACTGGGTTGTTTCATGTTTTCCTTCTCTTTGCTGTTCTATTGTCCTTCGTAGTTTGCTCCCTTAGACGGCTCTTAAATTTTCATCTTTTTCATTTTTAAAATAATTGTTTGCAATAGTAAAAACTAAATGAGATATAAGACAGCGAATAACTACATATATATATATTCATTACTGTTAGGTAGGTATCTTCATTACTGTTTGTGTTACATTGTTGTTCCCGTTTCTTATTATTTTAAGTGTTAAAACAATACAAGATAATGATTTGACAATAATTAAGTATGACGTATGTCGTCATACCACATTATTATCTCACTATTTCATAATTTATGACAGAACGTAGTGTTTTGACGGTCCTATTGGTCTAGTGGTTAGTGACCTGCCTGACTGCTAAATCAGAGGTCGTGGTTTGATTCCCATTTAGGACAAATAATGAATTGTGCGATGAGAACGATCATTTGTCACGTGTCTAATTTATCTGTAATATGTAATAAGTATGTTTATCAGCAGTCTGATCTCTCTGAGTCTCACTGTCAAGTTTGGGATCAGACTGCCTTGTCTGAGATGTGTGAAGTTATTATTATTATCTTCATTTCATTAAATAGACATATAAATTACATTTTTAAACATATTTATGTAAAAAAAAACAAAATACATTTAAAAATATAAAAAGTAGCGTCCCATCGGTACCAGACACAGGGACCAAGATACCGGATTGTCGTCATGTGGAATAGTAATGTAACAATCATTGCCCGGCTCTCTAATCGGTCTATTACCACTATATCAGGTTTATTCGCAACAATAGTCCTGTCAGTAATAATAGTACAACGTTGCACGACCATTTTTGAGAGCTGGTTACGGCACATATTTGTAGTACGGTAACTCCACAAGGTTATACTTAAGATAAAGTTGCTCAGAGACTATTCTGGTAACTTGGTTATGTCAATGCAAGAACTCGCCGTTGGCAAGACGAGAACAACCGGCAATTATATGTCTAAGGCTTTCGCTGGGTCAATGACATGCCTAAGATAATTATTCGTCATAACAACTTCATCAGTATTTGCAAAGACAAAACCTTCATCTTCTCCGAAGACGTCAGAATACTGACGCCAGTTGGTCTACCTCAGGCCTGTTCAAGTCCCGATAAAAACGTCCATTCAGCTCTTTACCCTTCCATATCTCCATACGATCAGTAGTTTTGAGTACTGCAAATTTGCGGCATATCTCTTTCCCTAAACCAAGCGGAGTGAGTCCGTTATCAACTGCTACTACATCCCTATGCATACCCATTTATTATTATTTTCATGTTTAATAAATAAGAACTAATTTGCCTTGAGAAAATTTTAACAATTTTGTCTGAACTTAAATAGAATAAAACCACATAATGTACAAAATAGTCATAGTAAGTATGATAAATCAACTACTTACATAGTCATGAACCGTAGTACGAGTAAATTAATACTAGCGGCCACAACCGCTAGTCCGAACAAGATGAACACAAGGCTTAGTGCTACGTAGCCTGGCTTACTGGTTAAAGCTTGGTCGTTCTGAAACAAATACATACTACTCTTGTAGTCATCCAAAGTGTATTTCAATTCCATAGAAGACAAGACGAAAGACGTAAAAAAGAACAGAATTCTTTTGTTATAGTTATAAGCCTAATACAATTGACACTTACGGAGTACTACCAACACTACACTAAATTACATGCATGTCTAAAGCTAAGGTGTATCAACTAAATTTGATAACATATAATACATTTTAGGCTATTTTTATTAAAATATCTGTACCTTTTTAAGTGGTTGAGACTGTGACTCAGAAGGTTAATTCATGCTAATAATAATTAGCATGAATTAACCTTTTGATTATTATTAGCATGAATTAACCTTCTGATTTTTTAGGATATTTCCTAATAAATTACAAAGTGTAAAATATGTGGTGATGGTATGATAGTTTAATTCACATGTTAGGATGCAACTAGAAGAACTCAGAAAGGATTCAGTTTTGACCTGGCCTTTTTACAGTTTAATTTAGGTATATTTGAAATTATCCATACATAGTAGCTGCTGATCCTCAATAACACTTTTAATATCACGCAATGATACCTCTCCATGCTATTGCAATGTACGTTTGATGTTAAAAAAGTAGTATTTACATCAACATCAAACGTTGTCTACCTTGGACCACCCACCATCGGGCAATTTAAAAGACAGTGTTACCTTAGCTTCCCTGACTTTGCTCCGATTCATCTCCGATCACTAGTGGTCTAAGTGGTCGCAGCTATAATTTAGTAGTTTAATAACACGCAACTGTAGATCTTTGGTGACTTGGAGAGAGATGATAACATCATCATTCACGTACAGTAGAGGGTACACAGCAAAGCTACATCAAATCGTCTTAGAATTCATCACATTAACTTTTACCGGATTTTGCGAGGCATGATGACCTAGGCTGGCTGGAGAATCCACCCTTTTATATTTGACTTTTATTAATGTTTTGAGTCCGGAGCGTAGTGCTTTCTTCTTCGATCATTTCTGATCTTTTGCAACACACATATGAGAGACAGAATACAGCGTCCTTCTACACTTTAATTTCAGGTACTTTTGACAGCATACAAATGCTACTTTTAGCATCGGCTACCAAAAACTAAGAGAAAGAAGTGATATAGGTATGGTTCTACTTAGTCAGACTCAAGGACCTGCCAGATCTCATTAATATTTTAAGCCACCAAAGAATTTTATATTAACGAGTGCATAAATCTTAGTCAGTTTATTAGCTACTTTAGTTCTCACCAACAAAACAGAACTTCAACTAGGAACATACTTGTAAAGCGACATAGTCTCCGAAGCCAATGGTAGTCAGTGTGACAAAACAGTAATAAAAACTATCAAAGTAACTCCAGCCCTCGTATCGCGAAAAAACAGCTGCACCTAGAATAACAGAACATACATTTTACAAAATTAATACAGAATTTAGAATACCAGCAGAGCATAATGTTTCCGCATACATACAATTAAACCTTCTCCCAGAAGGGGTAAGCACAGAAGTAAGCATTAAATACACATTTTTTTTTAAAAAAGACAACTGCATTAGGTATATATATCCTGTGTCGCGGGGACATAAAGAACACCCAGATTCAGAACAACAATTTGTGGAACATACAAAGTGTCGACCCATGTGGGGATCGAACCCACAATACTCAGTGTAGTAGTAAGCGGTGAGGGGACCGCTTAAACCACTACGCCGTCCGTGCAGTTATGTTGACAATTATAAGTTGGTCCCACTCAGAGAGTCCGAACTATCTTACTTAAGATTTCTCCTATTCTTATTATTTTATTAAAGATTTATTAAACTTAGGTCTTTGAAATTACTGTTTTGATATGAAGAATGTTTTTTGTCAATTTTACGTCACGTTTACGCTGCTTACATAAGCAGCGTAAACGTAACGTCGGGATTGTCCAACTTCTTTCGAGTTCGATAAGGAGCTCTTTACCCTCTGGAATAAGGGATGAAGCGGCCCATTGATAAAGGAGCCCTCGGCCAACATTTGACCTTAATGTATAAGAATACGACTGAATTTACCTGTAGTTATAATAATAGATGACAGCATTCCGGTAGCAAACATAAGATTCATCTCCGTAGCTTCAGTAGTGTTACATCGCAAGTAACACTTAGCCCTTCTGATCACTACTGACGCAAACTTGTTTAAACGCTCGCCTATACTTTGGAACATAACCAGGCCAAGAGGAATACCCACCTAAAAATTAAGGGAAGTTAAGAGTGCTTATTGCTAATCCTGCTGCTTAACCGACACAGTCCGACCATTATTATATCGGCTTTTCTGAGAGAAAAAATGTGTAAGTGTAGTGTAAGTTACTTCTTATATAGACAGCTGGTAGTAAAATCTTATCAAAATCGGTGAAGCCGTTGTGAAGATTACCCGGAGCAAACAGACAGATAGACAAAAAATATTTAAACTGGATTTTAGGCATAGGTATCATGCAAATAACCGTATCAGCATGAAAAAAGCTATTATTTTGAAATTATAAAGAGACACTTAAATTTTAATTTATTTGTATAGATTGTTGTAGCTGCATTGACTACCATTTTCAGTAAAATAAAATGTAATTATAAATACATATGAAATTTACCATAGCATATGCCATACAAAATGCTTTTCCTCCAACAGTCACTGGAGTTGAATGTCCGTATCCAATCATAGCCAACACTACTGTTGCAAAATAGAATGCCCCTGCAAACTTCCACTGCGGACCGGCTTTGTGAGGTTTGTTTTCTATGATAACTATTTCTATCATAGTGTAGTCTTCTGATGTTATATTATATTTACGAATTAAGCCATTTCTCATATCTAAAAAAAAATTAGGCATTATAAACCGAGATGATCCACCCAAATTAATATAATCAAAGTTGGTCAATATGGGTGTATAACTATTGAAAACATATTTATTTATTTTTTAACTTAAATAAGGTGCTTTCACCAGAAAGTACCTTATCACTCGGAAATTTACTTGTACCTTTGCAAGAAGTACCATTTACTACCCCTTACAACGCGTCGTGAAATCGCTGATTGTACCCTATTATTAAAAATTTTTAGTAACGAAATTGACTGCTGCGAACTTTTATCTAATATATTACTTAATATTCCGTCAAGAACTCGCTATAACCCACCGCTGAGTGTACCATTTGCACTGACGAACTATAGAAAAAATTCTTTTGTTATTCGTTCAACTAGAAGCCTCAATAATGTGTGTGAACAATTTGGAATTGATATTTTTAATGTTAGTGTAACGGGAGCGAGGAGGTGTTTAAGCCTTAAATTCTTCAGGGGTGATGGTGGGGGGTCTGAGTAGTTATTGTTATGGGTCCTGTCTGTTTTGTGTGTAAATTATTACGTTCTGTGTAATTTGTAAGTGATCTGTGCCTGTAACTTATATAATACCTCTTGATCCTATTCTGTATTGTCTTATGCACTGTAACTTATCTCTGATTTATATAAGTGAGGATTTGTTATTGGCTATCTGTTTTCTTGACTGTTTTTATTGTAATCATCATAGCTGTAAATCCTCCATAGTTGTATTAATAAATAAATAAATAATACATACTATGGTTTACAACAACATAAATGAATCTTTAGATAATTATTCTGCTGGAAGGTGAGTTTTAGAGCTTTTTTTTTTAAAAAAAAGGCAATACCACATAGTAGTAAGTAAGTAGGTAAGAATAGTAAACAAGTATATCTTGATAACTTAAAACAGTACCTTATATCATAATGTACTAATCCAAAAAATATTATTTAAAGTTACAAAACATATTTACACAATTAAACGTTTGTCACATTCGCCTTGGTATACATTCTTTCACAAGAGAATCAGATGAGTTTGGAAAGGAAATCTATTAGTTTATACCCGATTTACAATGCGAGTAAGGTAAAGGGGTCCTAGAAATTATAAGACTGTCTTCTAGTTTACATACCCGATATGTAAATGTACATACATACCTGATAAAACTTCTTGCCTCTTACTTTCTGTTTCAGATTCCAAAGCATCAAACACAGCTGCACCAATAAGCAAGTATGTGAACGTGCAAACAACCAAGGATAGTGTACGGACATTCTGCCGCTTCATTTTCATCTCTACGGCTTTTTATATTTACGTAAAATAATATTTCGCCCAATCTCTAGTCCATGACCTATAGAAAAAAAAAAATAGGTATGTTATTATTTCAATGTCATTACATGCAATGCATGCAAAAATAATATAAAAGATTAACAGTTGTATTTATTTATATATGATTGATTTTTATTTATTTTTTGTGCTCTTGATTGAACGCATAGCTACTTAAATTATTTAATACTTACCAATCGACCTTTTGGCTGTTTCGAATAAAATTTGCATTTCAATAATAATATGCCATTTTTTGTATAAATAATACTGTAAACAAATCGCTTCAGGTAATCAATTATCAAATATTATAAAAATAAAACACTGTAAATAAGTCAGTCAATACAAGACAGCATTTACTACATTTCTGTGTTATTTTACATAAAACTTGATAGAAGGCAATACTTTTGAAGCAGTGTATGTACGCAAAAACGTTCCGTTTTCTTAAGTAATTACTTATCACTCTTGTAATTTTTACATTTACTTGATTTATGTGCACAAATAATCTAACTCACCTTATTTTTACTCCATGGACAAGTATTTTTATCATATTTTATATTAAAAATTTTAAAGTTAGAGTAAAAAAAAATGTGTTAAAGGAACGTGTCACTCTTGAGTAATTTATTGAAAATATGTTATGAAAAATATTGATGAAAGTGGTATACTTTTTACACTTAATTCGGTAAATCATGGTTCTTTACTGCTTGGTAACAGACTAACAGCGCCTAACATTCATTTATTGTTCTGGATTTTTAAGAATTAATGCTTATCAATGTTTTAACTACAGGAACCTTTACTTATTAAAGTGGATTCATTTCTTACAGGTTTATTTAAATATATTATTATTAAAAATCTGGATTCGACAACTTCAAACGTAGACTAACTAAAACAACGGCATTGTTTTTATTCTGAGCGAGAACCACTTGCAGAAAATTAAATGTCAAAGTCAAAATTTTGTCAACACATGTTTGACAGAATTTGACGTTTCCTTTCGTGTGCTCAACTCGGCAAGTGCATGGCTTTTCTCGAAAATTAATAAAATAGATAATAAATAAAGTCTCCGAATAGCTCTGCAATGAAGATTGCTTGCAATAAATTTAACCCGCCGCTTGGTAAGGATTGCTGTGCCATACATATGTCACTAAATTGCATCATTTATTATAGAATTTTTTAAATAGATATATTCCTCCTGCCCAGGTGGTCTGCTAGCCGCTGAATTATACAAATCTTCGGGCCAGGAGATCAATATCAGCTGGGGCAATGAATCGTCTATAACACTGTCGAACTCCAATAAACCAGTGCCATATGTGACCAGCAATGACTTGATTAGAATTCTTGAAAATACTTTCAATAAATCTTTGGAGCCTCTTCAGAAAGTCACTATGAATCATTGGCTATCATTTAGCCTTACTTTGGAGGATGATATACCCAAATCGATTCAGTATCTAGACCAAACTTTGGGCCCAATCACTTATTTAGTTGGGGAAACTTTAACAGTGTCTGATTTGGCAGTTTTTAGTGTGTTACATGGTAAGTGTTCTAATAAGAATATATAAGAATACATATATTTCGACGAAAAGGAGACTACACTTTAGAAAATATACAATAGCTAGTATTAAAGAAAAGTAACTTTTAGAAGTAAATAGGTAATAAAAATATTAATATGAGTCAATATTAACCAAACCCACTCTCTCTCTCAATCTAAGAGCCAAGCCCTTGTAGGGGGAGCAATGGGCACTCCTCTCTGTTTCCTGCGATCTGTTTGACCTCTTGATAGGCCACACTCCCACTTTAATAAATAACATGATTTTTTATTCATCAAGTATATGTAAAAAATGTATTTAATGTTAAAATATTAAACATAAATCAATTTATTATTCTACTTTAAAACTATTAATTGCTATCAACACTGTGATTAAATAATTCATGAATATGTTTTGCAGTATCTGCTAAATTTAAAGATGTCTCAAAGAAAAATCCTTCTAAGAATGTTCAGAGATGGATGAAATTGATTGAGTCTCAGCCATGTGTGATTAAGGCATTGAAAGCATTACCTGCAGAAGTCCTAGACACATTGAATAAGTCCTCGTCAAGGTTTGTTTTCCTATTTCTTTTTTTATCTATAAAGCAAATGCTGGATACTAAGAGTTAACATAATAACTGATTCAAGTTTTTACTTCAGATGTTTTGTATCTATTTGCTTATGTCATAGTCATGTTCATGTAAGACTTCTGTAATATCATTGCAGAAAGTCACCATCTAGCAATGAAGCAGGATCAGGTCGGCAACAGGAGGGCAAGTTTATTGATTTGCCTCATGCAGAGATGGGGAAGGTGGTAGTGCGCTTCCCTCCGGAAGCTTCTGGGTATGTATACACATATTTTTTAAATAACTAGAATGTTTTTCTTTTCTTTTTTTCTTGTTTAAATGTTTCAAAATCTACTGCTAGACACAGACCTCCTGCTTGCCAGACAGGTTCTTACAGAGGTTGCTTCAAGTTCTTCTGTTTGCAATGCAGAGTTTGCTCCCTTTTACTTTTCTTTAATTTATACATTTTTTGATCACTATATTTTTAAGAAAGGCTTTCATTTATTGTTCAACATACAGCTAGGTAGGTGAAAACTTCTAAATGACATATTTGCCTTAAAACATTGATGAAAAATGATTTAATGTTTTATGATGGTTTGGTTTTATTTTCTAGCAATATTATTTTTTTGTAAAAACTCTATTGTGGTCAGGTTTATATCAAAAATTGATTATTTTCAGATACCTACATATTGGGCATGCAAAAGCAGCACTACTTAATCAGTATTATCAGGTTGCTTTCCAAGGGAAGCTGGTGATGAGGTTCGACGATACCAACCCTGCTAAGGAGAACGCCGAATTTGAAAACGTAATAAATGTTTTTTATTTATTAGAAAGCTATCATTTTCATCAACAGCCTTTAATAGTCCACTGCTGGACATAAGCCTTTCTTTAGAAAAGAGGTTTTGGCCTACTGTACCACCCTGGCCAGACGGGTTGGTATAGGGTTTGTTTCAAGTTTTCCTTCTCTTTGCAGTGTTGTCTTGCGTAGTTTTCTCCCTTAGTCGACTTTTACGATACCCACGGGATGACTAGGGGTGGTGACATTACGTATTCTTAATCCGTCACCACACGGATAGGAAGCTATAACCTCTGTCAAAGGTAATTTATCATGCTTGCAAAGTAATACGATAAACAATAAAACCAAAATTTTTTGTAGATAGATATTTTTTTCCAAAAACGTTTCGATCTCACGTTACATACATGGAAGATATTATTTTTTTCTCGTCTATTCGACTATTCCGTTGTATTGATAAGTTTGTTAAAGATATTGGGATATGTAACAATTTCAGATGTGCCAACTTTAAATTTTGCCGACTACCTGATTATGAATCATGTCCAGAGAAAATGATATTTGGAATAACTTTTTTTATTGTTCAAAAATATCTATTTAATATCTATTCCAGGTAATTTTGGAGGATGTCGCTATGCTGGAAATCAAGCCAGATATGTTCACCCACACATCGCAATACTTCGACCTCATGATGGAGATGTGTGAGAAACTTATAAAAGAGGGTAAAGCATTTGTAGACGATACCCCCGCTGAGCAGATGAAGAACGAGAGAGAACAGAAGATCGACAGCAAGAATAGGAACAATTGTATGTTAACATATTTTTCACTATGTTACTACTATAGTAATTTCTATATCTGTTGTACTATATAGCTATAGCTCGCGTACATTTTGACCACATGTGCCACAAATTGTAGTACTTTTAATTCAAGAAATCGAATCAAGTTATCTTGATTATCCTACTAGTTATCAAGTTAAAATGAAAAACCAGTAATTGCTACTATAATAAGGTTTTAAATGGCATAAATTTTATACCTGTACACAGAACTTTGTATTGAAACCAGAGCTCCTTTGAAAGTGGTCGTTCTCCTTTCCGATAATCGATTAAGTAGTTAAAAGCGTTGTTAAATAAACGAATTCATTTTAAGTAAGTTTGTAATCAAAATAAAAGTTTTTTTTTATCTTATGATAACTTTTCACAGCCGTAGAGAAGAACCTCCAACTGTGGGAGGAGATGAAGAAGGCTACAGACGTTGGAGTGCAATGCTGCGTACGAGCCAAGATCGACATGCAGTCAGCCAACGGATGCATGCGTGACCCAACCATCTACCGCTGCAAGCCCGAGACACACCCTCGCACTGGAACACAGTACAAGTATGTAACCCTAACACATTTTTTTTATTAAATTTCTAATATGTAACAGAATGAATTATTTTTTATTATAGGGAATACCCTATCTATATAGTTATATATGACGTAAATATGGCAGTCATATTTACGACTGACGTACGAGTATTTATGAAATCAGTCATAAATATAGGACTATTAGATTACTTTGAGTCTTGATTTTCTATAATTGCTGCTTGTGACATTACTAAATGTGGGACAAACTATATTTTGGATGTAAACAGAGTAAAATGCTCTCACTATGTCTCTAATTAACAAATATTAAATTTTAGATAATCACTAGTAAATGGCGAGGGGAACTTTCTGTAAAAACAAAAACTGTTTATGTATATTTACATTTTATTCTGAAGATTCATTTACATACTTAAAAGTGAAATATTAGCCAAAAAATCGATTGTGGTAAGAAATGGTCAAATCTTTTATCTTTATATTCCTTGTGTAGAGTATACCCAACATACGACTTCGCCTGCCCAATTGTGGACTCCATTGAAGGCGTTACTCACGTGCTCCGTACCATGGAGTATCATGACCGAGATCCACAGTTCTATTGGTTCATAGAAGCTCTAGGAATCAGAAAGCCTTACATCTGGGAATACAGCCGGTGAGTGTACATGGTGTACAATACTGACTTCAAATAAATAGATTCATTATTGCTCTAGTAATGACTCATACGCCTAACTACTCATTCTGACATCGTCTGCATTCATGTCACTGTATCCATATACAACAATGAGCATTACTAAAGTAGAAAGAAGAGACTGCTGAGCTGGAGATCGTAGGTTCGATTCCCACCCAGGCCAAATAATTGTGAGATTAGCACTGTCATTGGTTCTGTCTGGGTGTACTTTATCTATAACATGTATGTATTTAGAAATATTTAAGTATGTTCATCAGCAGTCTTGTTACCAAAGCAAAGGCTCTGCCTAGTTTGGAATCAGACGGCCGTGTGTGAAATGTGTGACAATATTATTATTAATATTATTTTATCATGAGATTAGTATAAATGAGTTAAATAAATCACAACAGTTTTTTATATATTACATTTATATATTAAGTATAGGAAGGTGTGTTCGATTCTAGCTGTTGTAAATATTGAGAAAATACTCCTACCCTTTAATAGGTTTTTTTTTTAAACTAAAAAATAAAAAAAATCGTATTTCATTTTATACCTACTCCTGCACTGCATAAGGCGGATGTAACTTTAAAAAATATGTGGGCATTTTCTTGCAGTCAACTAAAAGTGATGCAGAGATGTGTGTGATAAGTGTATATCATGATAATAATAAAATAATGTATGAATAAATGAGTTTATCTCTTTTTTTTACAGATTAAGCATGACAAATACAGTGCTGTCTAAAAGAAAACTTACTTGGTTCGTGGAGCAGGGTCTTGTCGATGGATGGTAAAATGTTCTTTTTGTTTATTAGATCGTCAAATTTTAAAGTAACCTCAATGTATTGTCGTTCATATGAAAAAAATATGTATATACGTAACATACACAAACTGATCATTCAGATCATCATCATCATCAGCCTATCGCAGTCCGCTGCTTGACATAGGCCTCATACATTGTGACGATATGCGCAAGATGGCTGGCAGGAGCTGGATGCGAGAGGCCGAAAATCGATCTAAGTGGCGTGCAATGGGAGAGGTCTATGTCAATTCGTATAACGGAATTTTTAAGTCATACGTATATACTAGACTAAAAGACCGAAAACGGACGTTGATGGAAAAAAACAGCTCACAAGGTGTTGTAACTATCATACAAAGTAAACAAGAAAACGCTCACGAAAGCGTAACGTATACATACTTAAAGTTGTCACCCATATCACCGGTCGAGTTTTAATTCGCCCTTAAAAAAACTTGGTTTCGAAAACAACAATTTCATGCCTAATTTTTGTACATAGAAGGATGAGTCTTTTTTATAAATAATCTAAAGCAAATTAGATTGAAGTTGACTGCACGGAAGGCATAGTGGTTTAAGCGGTCACCTCGCCACTTCCTACTGCGCTGAGTGTTGTTGGGCAACACTGTGTGATCCACAAATTGTTGTTCTGAATCTAGTTCTTTGCATGCATTTCATGTATGTCTGTAAAGTCCTCCGAGACAGGATAGATTCCTAGTGCGAAGTTAATATCTTGTTAATTTTTAAGTTGCCTTAAAAATGTTTTTTTTTTAGGGATGACCCACGCATGCCGACTGTACGAGGTGTACTCCGGCGCGGTATGACCGTGGAAGGCCTGCGTCAGTTCATACAGGCTCAGGGTTCCAGCCGATCCGTCGTGTTTATGGAGTGGGATAAAATTTGGGCTATTAATAAGAAGGTAATATGCATACAGATAATATAGTAAATATAAATAAAGCAATAGATAAATATGTAAACGACTCAAAATGAATATTGGCTGACTGTTTGATTTTCTAAGGGGAATGTAAAGGTGTTGTATAAAAATTTTTTAGTCACTTCAAAATTCTTCATATCATTTGGTGATTTATGTTTTTCTTTTTCCATTCCTTATGGCCGGGTGGCGTAGTAGGTTGTGTATCGGACTGTTACGCCAAAGGTCGACGGTTCGATTCCCGCTCAAGTTAAACATTTGTGTGCATGAACATTTGATGTTTGATTTTGTCTGGGTGATTCTATATGTGTGATCCGTAAAGCATACTACTTGCTAAAGTCACAGTAATTTCATTGTTTTTTGACCCCACCCACTCCTGTCACAGCTGGTTACATTTGTGAGATGAGGGGCCCTGTCTGACATCACATATTTTACAATTTTACATCTAGGAATTATTAAATTAAAACTGCAGTTCCTAAACTAGTTTGAATTCCATTTCAATATTTTTTTTTAATAATTTTAATTTTAAATTAAATATTTACAAAAATAAACATTAAATCCAACATTTTAAAATATTAACAAAACAAAACCCCATGAATTATATCACTGTAAATTCAAAATTCGCGTTATAATACTTGATAGATGAGGTTTACGTCATTGACCCCTTCGTGCCCTCCCCCTTTAGGTGTGACATACTTTATTAATAGTCCCGAACCAGAAAATACCCCTTAAAATACCTATCTCAAATAATAAAGAAAATTAAAAATAGAAGTAGATTTAAAGTACTAACGTTTAAACATTCATGTTGCATAGCATTTAATAGTACGAGATCCGGCTGCAGAATCAGTGCACTCATCAAGTATGTGCTAAAAACCTTAGACTATAACGCATTCACGTAAAAGCCATTACGTACCATTGAATTGTCGGGCGTTTGGACATCCTGCAATGTCCATGGCCAGATGTTGACAAAGTAATAAAAAAACAAGTTAGAATCCCAATTATTGGATTTATCCTCTATATAAGACAAATAGCTAATGAAAATGTGTAAAGGTAGGTATAAATATTTCTATACACACTATACACGACACGTAAGTAAATTCAGCCAAGTTAAGACAATTTAAGCAGTTAAAAATGTATTAGAAAATAACTGACTCTTTTTCACTTTTCCAGGTAATCGATCCTATAGCGCCCCGGTACACCGCGCTAGAATCAAACCCTGTACCCGTCAACCTGAAGGGCGTCTCAGAGAGTACTTTAACCGTGGCGCTGCATCCAAAGAACGCGGATGTTGGCAACAAGCAAGTGTGGGTCGCACCGAGACTGCTCATAGACCAGGTCGACGCTAAGACTTTGAAGGAAGGAGAGAATGCTACCTTCATAAATTATGGGAATATCTTGATTAATAAGATTCATAAGTGAGTGTTTTTATAGTTGATATCTATACTATCCAGGTGATAAAGATACACATCCGGGGCCTCAATTCTGCTATTTTAATATTGTATCAATAGACTGTCGATGGAATCTCATTGGAATAGTTTTGCACCTTTCCTATTCTACTAACTATGTAAGACCAATGACCGATGACTTGTCACTGATACAAATGTCGTGAATATCTTTGTAACAGTTTGGTAAACATTCATCATTCATTTTAAGTTTGTAAGAAAATGATATATTTAATTTTCCAGGTTTGGCAATGTTGTTGATATATACTATATCGACAGTCTATTGACACTGAATTTATGTTAGTAGATACTGATATTTGGTCGATGTCAATGGCATTTTAATAGCGTATCAATTGAATGACAGTGGCTTGGCATTAACATAAAATAGCAGAACTGAGACCCTGATTTGTGTTAGTGAGTTATTTGTAAAACCCATTACATCTTAGGATAAGGATCATATTTAAATTGCTTATATATTTAATGATCAGATATTTTTAAGAGTATGTGCGCTGCCTTCGATAAAGACGGTAGACCTTGGCTTTAACAAAAGGACATGAGGCATCATGTTTAAAGTAAATCCGGCTACGAAACTGCGTGCTAACTCTATGTGTACGTGTGTGCTCGTACACGTGTACGCATTGCTCACAATGATATGCTTTTTCGTAAATGCGCTGTATATGAAGGTTAACACTAAAACTTATCAAACGACATTCGCATGTGAATGTGCCGAATAACGCACAAAGTGTGTATCTATTTTATACTGTACATATAAACAACTGTATTCTGTATGTTTTAGTGGATGTTGTATATGTATAAAATAAATATATAAAAATGATGCGGTCCTCTATGAGAACGACTTTTAAAGAAAGGCGACTATGACTAACTAAAAGCATTTGTTGATTTTAGAGCTGCAGATGGTTCCGTGACAAGCATCGACGCTACTCCGAACCTAGACAACAAGGACTACAAGAAGACCCTCAAACTAACCTGGTTGGCCGACACGGAGAAGTCGTCCCAGGTCGAAGTCTATTGCGTATACTTCGATCACATCATATCAAAGGCAGTCCTGGGCAAAGATGAGGACTTCAAACAATACATTGGACACCAGACAAGGGTATGTTTCTTACTATTAACAGCTGAAGGGAGTATGTGTAGTAGTTGTAGTCGTAATTGCAAGCTATTTCTCAAATATTGTATATAACTGTGTACAATGTTATCAATAAATTGATAGTTTTATATTATCTTAGTAAACTGAAAAAAAACTATTCCAATAACTTTGAAAAAATTTAAAATCAATTTCCCTAAAATATTAATAATTTATTATTTAACTCTTTTTTTTCAGTGAAGTTTAATGAGTCCTTTCGTCGTAAAAATGTTACATTGAATATTTTGTCCACTGACAGTGGGAGGTCCACATGATTGGCGAACCGGAGCTGCTTAAGGTGAAAGTTGGTGACATCATTCAACTGCAACGTCGCGGTTTCTTCCGAGTAGATGTAGCTCCGGCCCCTCCCTCCCCCCACACGTCGCGTGCCACTCCCCTCGTGCTGTTCCACGTGCCAGATGGACACACTAAGGAGATGCCGGGACAAGTAAGTGTTCTTTATCTTTTCTCTCCTTTGGTGGCACTTCAAGGAACCCGAAGAAGGAAGATGTGGCCATACCGACTCAAATCGACTGAATCCATACGATAGTTCTCATTTTTTTATGGAACATGATGCAATTCTATGAGGGAAAAAATTGTTTTGCCCTATGACGTCATGCATGACGTTTCATTATGGCCGGAGTCCGTGCCGTATTAGAAGTAAGTGATCGTTATTGCTGTCGGTACCCCTAATTCTATATTTTATTTGAGGATCTCATTTTTCTAAATACAGTAAGTTTAATACGCCATAAAATAAAATAATGGGGGGTAGAGATAATATCATTTTTTTTGGGCACCCCGCAAAATTAAACAAAAGTACATTCACTATAAAACTCAATTTACCATAGTCTATATAAATAAATAAAATTATAGTGTGTTTGTAATGTAAAAATAATAGGTTTTTTTTTCATTTACGTTCACGCGGTTATTTGCACGATACCTTTGAATAAAAACCAGTTTAAATATTTTCAAGTAAAACTTCTTTACGGACGCTTGACTTGGGGAGTAAGCTGGTGAATGCGTGACGAGAGTGTTACGAAAAGTGTGATCGGGCGAGGCGAACGGAAGTTGAGGGGGAGTATAAGTTAGTGAAGATAGAAAGAGAGAGAGTTACGTTTCGTATTGTAGGAGCAAGAGAGAGGTGCGAGCACACATTTTCTTTCTCTCTTTCTCTCATAGCCAAGAAGTTTTACTTCAGTCGTGTGGTCTTAAGTACACTCATTTTTTTATCTGTCTGTTTGTGCCGGGTAATCTTCAAAACGGCTGAACCGATTTTTACATTTTAATACCAGGTAGCTGTCTATATATGGAGTAACTTAGGATATTTTTGTCAGAAAACCCCTATAAAATTTTGCCCGGTACAGGAATCGAACTCACTAAGGCAGCGCTGTTAAGATTTCTCTCTAACGAAGTGGCGGGCACAAGCTACTCATTAATAATATAAAATGTGTTCTTACGTGTACAAGTAGTTTTAATTCATAAAACAGGCCCACCCACAATTCACTGTATACATATTCTTTTTTTCTTGTCTTTTTCTTTAAATTATGAATCAGTTAATATTTTTAACCTTTATGTAGGTATGTAACAGATATACTAATAGTAATATATTGCTGACTTCTAAATCATACATAGTTAAGGTCTGTTGGAAAACTTAACTTAATTATATTAGTCTTAAAACAAAAAAAAATGTTTAAAAAAATTGACTTACTAAGGAAATAAAACACACTTCATGTAATAAAAAAAGAATTGTTTAAACATAAACTTAAAAAAAGACTTCTTTAAACTAACATAAACTTAAACATAGTTGAGACCAAACAAAAAAAAATCAACAACATAAAAACTTAAATTAACGATGTCCAAGTACTAACAAACATCGCTTTGTTGTTCCACAACCTAAAATAAAAGAAAAAAAACAGGTCTCTTAAACTAACTTGGCGTATCATTTTTATAACAAAAACTCCCTAAATGGGACTTCAGTGATTGGTATTCTATGTCTTGGATGAATTATTAACATTCGTTTTAATAGTTTGTGTAGCATTACAAATTTATCCGGGCGTTTAGTAATTAGTTGCAGTGTTCTAGTGGAGTTCCACGCAGTATTATTAACAATACGAAGTTTATGACTTTCAACTGGAAACTCCGTAACACATACGTATTCCTGTAAAAGAACATTGTAAATAATTTCCATTTTATTTCATTTTTAATGTCAGTTTTATCATAACCGTTTTTGCCATTTCTGATTCAATTTCTGTTTTAAAATATTTAACAATACATAATATGCCTATACTTTTCAAGTTTTACTTATATAATAGTGCGTCAATTTTTAAAAAATGCGAAAAGAAGAGACCAAGCAACAATTTAAAACGATTTAGGAAATATATATAAATATATATATATATATATATATATATATATATATAGTGAAAACAAAAACAATTGATTTCCATACGTTTCAATTGTCAAACGTTCAGACGTTTTATCTGGTTGCACCAGTGTATAACACTAGTGACGTATCATAATTAATTAAACTGCGTATCTCACCTTTGGTCCGACTTGCCGCATAAAGTTGGTATCTAAAAAGTGCTTATGCACTTGAGTGCTTCTCTCCAGCATCTCAATATCTATAGGACCTAAAGTGCATATTTGATGGTACAATATTTGATTATTGTAAATTCCTGGGAATAGCTTCGTACCCGAAGCCATTTCGTAAATAACTAAGGCGGTGGCCCATACGTCTATTTTGTAGTCTGCTTTAAAGCCCAATATAATTTCAGGAGCACGATAACTTGATGTACCGCTGCTTGGTGTTATTTTTATATTGTAACCGTAATCAGCTCGATCAAAGCCACACAGTTTAAGTCCGTTGCCTTCACTGTTCAGAAGGATGTGACTTGGTTTTATGTCTGAAATAGTTTTATGATTTTTAATTTTTTGATGGAGAAGTGTTTGTCTTTAATCGGATAGTAGGAAAAGGTAACTAATTCCCACCTTTTCTTACTGAAAATCTAACACGTCGTTGACCAACCATATATGTCTGCATACAACGCATTAGATTTTATTCTTTCTGTAATTGCTATCTTTGAATATGTTAACTTTAAACGGAAAAAAATCGCTTTAAAATATTCGAACATGTTAGACAAAAATAAGGTTTAAGGTTTTATCAGTACATAAAAAAAAATGATGCATCTGTATGTTTAGCGGTACTTATACCACTCATTTATTTTTTCTTTAATTCTTGCTGAATTTTTTATTACTATTCTATATTCGCTATTCTTTGGCAAAATCATAAAAAAAATCGTACTAACTGAACATACCTGTGTCCGAAAAAAATATTAAATATTGTATGGTATGTACCTGAATGTATGATACAGTTCCTCGTTAACATTATCACTGCTGATACTAATTGTCTAGATAAATTTTGCACCACATCAATATTCAAAAATGTCTTATTGGCCAATTCTTGTCCTAAATTTCTAGGATAGTATTCAGTAAGCCAGCATAATTCCCAGCCCATGTAGAAATGACTTATGATTTCAATATTAAAATGTCCATATTTATTTCTGATTTTCTGTAAACCCGTGAATATGCTCTTTTTGTACATACCCATACTTAAAAATCTATGCCTGAAAAAAAAAAGAATTGTTGTTATTGTTGTTCATAATCTTTTTAACATTTTTGTGTGGATTAAATCCATCCACGAATGTCCATGTGTATGAATGCTTAAAACATGTTATAGGACCCATACTACAAGAACTGCTAATTTTGGGTGTTGTTAGTCATGTGTTACATGTCCCACGACATTGCATTACGCTATGGTAGGTAACGGATTTCAGAAATCAGGCTTAATTGATTGATCGAGTCATTTGATATAATGATTATCTGATAGTTATGAAAAACGTACTACTTACGGTACCGTATACTTGATTAGTATCTTAGTTTTAAAAACTTGGATTAAAAACTTACTTACCTTAAGACTTTGACTGCGTAAAGCCCCCCACTAGAGTCTTGGCATTTATAAATATTTGAGAAATATCCACCATGAATAAGGTCTAAAACAGTGAACTTTTTATGTAGGGATTCAAACATTTGCTTTTCCATTGCATTTATGTATCCTTTATTTAAATTTCCACCTATATTATAATGTTCTGTATTAATAGAAGGTGATTCAACAGCTTCTACATGTTTATTTTCTAAATTTGTCTGAGGTGTCGCCGTTGCATTATTAATATCATTGCCTATTTTCAATTCACTTTCTTTAGGTATTGATGGAATTTTAAGGGGGGAATCAGTTAGAGTTACGGGATTATCTTGCCGATTTTTTATTGTAGATGTTACAATTTCAGCCTGTTTCGTCTTATTTTTTGATAGTTCAGTATTTACTTTTTCAATGAAAGGGGTATATTTTGACTGATTTACGTCTACTGTAGGGTTTATACTGTCTTTTTTAGAATGACTATCATATTCACTAAAGGCAGAGTTAGTATTTTCTGATTTAATTATTGTTGTGTTTTGTACACTGACCTCCTTAGCAGGGGTTTTGTCATTGTCTTTTGAATCAATATTTGATTGTACAGGAAGGGTTACTGATACATTTTCAGAATTGATTATTTTAGTGCTACTTATAGTCTCATCGTGTGGTTCTTTCTTTACACGTGTTGGGTTATGAGATACTTCCTTTTTTACACTTGTTGAAGGGACAATATTGTTATCATATGTTTCATTTTTTATATTTAACAAAGAATGGATATCAGATTCCTTCTTTATATGGATGGGTGGATGATCTGTATCATTTAAAATAAAATCCGAAGCAACAACAATTTCTGATACTTCTCTACATTCATTTTCTTTTTTCGGAACCTTTAGATCCTTTGACAGATTATTTGAGGTTTCTTGATTGGCATTGATGCCATTGACTTGTGCATCCCAGTGTTTTACGTCTAGTAGTTCTCCTATATTAATTTCTGCACCTGTCCCGTCCCTTGGGTTATTGTTTATATAAATGATAGGTACTTTAGGATTAGCTTTGTTTGATTCGCTTAAAAATATGTCTGATTTGTTGCCCCGTTCCTTATGTAATACTATTGATTGTTTAACGTTTTTGTTTTGATCCATAGATACTAAAACCGAATCATCATCCACTAAAATAGTGTTGTTCTCGACGTCATCTGTTATATCAATTACTTCGTACACGTCATCATTGTATCCCTTTAGTAAATTTGTATTATTTTTCGTTGCAATTACTTGAGGATTGGTTACTTTATTAATAAACCTGAAAATAACGTTTATTTTAGTAGATAAATATTTATAACTAACGTATATGTTGCTTTTCTTAAAATTTATTATATCTTACCCAACATTTGATTGTTCGCTATTATGAATTAGTGAATCAGGATGCTGTATATCTATTAAATGGCAGTCTCTTGTTAAAGCTTCTACACTTGAGTTGGAGTTGTTTTTACAAATAAGTTCATCATTTAAACCAACTTCGGTACTGATATTATTTTCACGAATTGGACTTTCCATTCTTTGACCTGCATTCAAACTATCTACGATTCCATCAATATCAATCTCGTCTAGAAAACTTAAGTCTTGATGTGGCGATGTGTTTCCACTTGTTATTTCGGGTTCACTTTCATTTGCAACTTCGTCGGAATCGTCGTTAGAGTTTGGACATTTAATATTTATCACGAGCTTAATTTTCTTGGTTTTCTTAACTTTAGGTTTACTTGCAGCTTGTGAGCTTTCGAATCTCCGGGCTTGAACTTCTTGGTTCAGTGTAACAAGTAAATTTTCTCGTTTAGATGATGATTTTATACGAGTAATATCTATATTACTTTGGTTTATGGTTCTCTTACGAGTTAACTTTGATCTAAGATCAATAGTATTGATACTAGGCAAATTGATACCGCTTGGTTCCTTAATTATTTTCACAGTTCTTGTTGAAGTAGGTGTCATTTCTGTTATTTTCCTACAGCTTGAATTCCTTTCAGTAGATGATTCACTTTTTCTAGATTTTTGTGTTTTTTCGTGTTCAAAGTCCTTTTGCCTTTTCGGTCCCGACGTTTTAATTTGATTTGTTTTTTTATTAGTTTCATCTTTCAATTTCTTTCTTTCCGAATATGAGGTACCATTGCATAATTCTTTCTGTGATTTACGTTGTTTTTTTACTCTTAATATTTCTTTTTTATTTATGAAGTTAAGTTTTTTATTTGTTTCAACTGTTTTAGAATGCTTGTCATGTCTTTTATCTGGCTTTTCCTTTTTCTTTTTGCTAGCTAAATAGCTCGTTAGTTTAATTTTTATTTCGTCTTTTTTCTTAATCCTTTCTGTACTTGTTATATCTTTATTGTCGTTCTTATATTTTGTATGTTCATTAGTCGTGGATTCTTTATGAGATATTTTTTTATCTATGTAACTGTTTATCTTTTTAGATTCTTGTTTCTTTTTCGCTCGTTCAATAACGGATTTAAGTTTCAAGTTTTCCTTATTTTCCTTCCTTTCCATAACTGGCTTTACATTTCTTGATGCTTCTTTTTCTTTTATATATTTACTAGATCTCTCTTCTCTCACTTTTGGTTCTGTTAAGCAAGATTTCTTATCGCGTTTCTTATAACAATTATCTAAAAAGCGTCTGTAGTCTAGATACCGCTTTAAAGCTCCTGAAGTTTTGACATTTATCTGCTCATGTAATATTCTCGCGGATCTAAGACCATCGTTGTTTGATTTAATATTTTCATATTCATGTCTTTGCTCTTTCGAAGGCAATGTTAACTTATCCTTTAAACTTAGTTCGAAATGCTTTTTATCGTGATTATTACTACTAGAGCTTGCTTTCATCTTCAATACTTTTCGTTGTTCCAAACAAGTCATATTTACATTTTTGTCGTTACAATCTTCTTGCTTCCTAGATCTTTTACGGCTAGACTCGCAAGGGCTGTCTTTTGTTTCGGTTTGGTTTATGGTGCTTTGTGAATGTCTTTTTTGGTCCTGAATATTCATATGTTTCAATTTATTATTAGCCCTGACTGAAGTAGTCGAACTCGTGTAATTATTAGAATATTTACTAGAATCTGTATTATTCTGTAGTCGATTTGAGTTTTCGAAATCTTGTTCTTTATTCGCTTCAATATTATAACATTTTGAGACTTTGGTGCCTATTGCCTGTTTTTTTAAGCAAGCCTCTGATTTTAAAGTGCTATCATTATTATATGTGTTTGTTAATTCAATCAAGTTACTTTGGCAGGAATATTTTGAATTTGAAATAAATGTTCCTTCATGTTTTGAACTAAGTACCGCTGGGACCGTTTGTTCATTATGAAGCTGTAACAAATAGTTTATCTGTGTATATAAAATTAGTTTTAGTTACGTTATAGATATTAGAAAACAATTTTCATAATTGTCTCAATAGTCATGAGAAAACAGTAAATTTTGTTTGTTTTTGTAAACATAAGTTTCTACAAAAATAAAAAAACTAACCGTTACTTGCTACTTAAATTGTGTAAACAAATATTAACAAGTAACAAATATCTAATTTTAACCAGTAATGCTTTACGTTTTAGGGTTTCGTAGAAAATTTCGCCATGTCCGTCTATCCGTCCGCGGCTTAGCTTAGAGACTGTTACTACTACAAAACTGGTTCGTTGGTATTATTTTCGACTACTTAAATTGGTTGAGAGACCACTAGGAAATGGCAATGCACAGTGTAGTACATCAAAAGCTGTAATTTTTATTTTTCGTTTACATATACGTTTCTTGTTATCTTTCATTTGTTAAAGCAATATTTAAAGTCGATTTCACGAAATATTGCAAAACCAATACCTACATAAATTGCTAAGACGTCATCAAAACATATATAATCTCTACAAAACGGCTTAGGTTTTGATAATAATAATAAAATAATAAACTTCAGACATCTCGCACACGGCCGTCCGTTCATAGAAGAAACAAACACAGTATAAATAAATCCATCCATACTACTATACCTATAAATGTGAAAGTAAGTTTGTTTGTTTGTTATGCTTTCACGCCTAAACCAAGAATAGCTACATTATGAGCGAGTAACATAGGCTATTTTGTACTGAGATAACCGATTGTAGTTGTAGTTAAATAAAAAAGAAAGTATTATATTATGTAATAGCGTTATTGTCAACTGCATAACACTATAAATCCTTATCAGGGAAAACTGATCTTTATCAAGGATTGTTTACTTACTGAGACTACAGTTACATTGATATTTTTATAGTGAATCATAGTGTTGATAAGAAGAAGACGGGTCATATATATTTCTTTTATGAACAATAGCCTCTGATTCACATTTTTATTCATAGTTTTCTAAATTAACTAATTAATTTATGGCTGAAATGATGATCACCATGTTTATGGTATATAAATACCTTTAACATCAAACCCATGTAACCTTAGAACAAACCTGTCCCCCCCCACACACCTCATTTATGTCCATGGGTTCCAGGTTTTATTCCCTACATTGATAAAAAGTCTGTCTTCTTGTCAGTCTTTATGTAAAATATATATCTACTATTGCAACTACTAGAAATTAAAATAGCTTGTAAAACTTTCTTTTAACCAATTTCATTAAAAGTAAGGTAAATTAAGTAAGTTTAAGAAATTAATATAGGTAGTCCTAGAATATTCAAGAGTGAATAGGTTTATGTAGGCATATACCACCTTTGCTCATATCATAACTTTCTTAATTAATAATAAAAAAGAAAAACATATCTAACAATTTTTTTTTCACTTATAAAATATCTTGTTTGGTTCATACATAATATATTTTATTTTGCAAAATTCATCATATACAATGTTGAACTATATAAATGATAATAAATACCTTAACTGCAGTGAAAACTCGAAAACAACATTACACATAAGACCAAGATGATTGCCGGTATTTACACCTCAACAATGTCTTAAAAAAATATTATTAAACTTTGGTATTAAATACGTCCTATTAGCACATTTTAAATACTTACCTGCCTCAAAGCTTCTTCCACACTGTCGATATCTCGACAATTTGTAGACATATTCAAGTCATCATGAGATGATTTAAGCTTTTTAGATAACACGCCCGGATATTTTGCACCTATTTGTTTATTAGTTGATGGGCCACTATTTGCAGCGATAGTAGTGGTATTCGTAGTTGAAGTCGGCACTATCACAATATTGGGACTTGCATATCGCGCGAAATAATTCTTTTTCATTATGCGACTATGCGTCTGATAGCCAATTTGTAGTTATGTTTTGTTGTCACTTTTGACAGTTTATTTTTTTCATGCGCAGGTAATTTACAAAAAATATTTAGAAATAAAACGTTTTGAAATAGGAATAAGTGACAGTTGAATTTTTTGCTTAATATACTACCTATTTAAAATAAAAACCAGTTGTAAATATCAAACTATTAAATCTATATCTAGAAAGGACTTTTACTAACTGTTAACTAGGAGAGTGTCTGACGTCAAGGCGTCATTGAAACGAAACAAATACTGAATTACTGAATGAAATACGAGCTTTGCGCAATAAAAGGAGTAGACGATTTGTTGATAGACTTGATAGTTTATATGATATTTAGAAATGACTACTTTATCGAATTCGTAAAATGCCTCATTGACGACAATTTAATAATTGTCGTAAATTAGAGATTTTAGATTATTAGATTAGAGATTTAGTGGGATAAAAATCACAGTAGGCAAAGTGTGGACAATTTAAAAAGTTGCTTACCCCTTCGTGGTTATAGTCGTGAGTGTATGTATGTATCTTTAATTTTTATCCCTTTATGCGTCGAACCGTTGCATTGGGTCTGGGGACGTTGGACCTAATAATAATAATATACCTCACACACTTCACACACGGCCGTCTGATCCCAAACTAGGCAGAGCCTGTGCTATGGTGACCAGACTGCTGATAAACATACTTATATATTTTTAAATACATACATATTATAGATAAATTACACCCAGACACAGAACAAATGATCATGCTCATCACACTATATTTGTCCTGGGTGGGAATCGAACCCACGACCTCCGGCTTAGCAGTCAGGGGCACTAACCACTCGACCAACAGGCCCGTCAAACCTAGCCTAGCTTTCGCAAAAATATAAGTTATGTTCTTTGAAATTTCCTCTCATCGATCCCTTGTCATAGAGACATAACTTCTTAAAATAAGTTATACTTTACGCTGGCGGTCGCAGAGCCGTATCCACGTTTGTAGGACATAAAATATAGAAAAGAATTTAAATATATTTACAGAAATCAAGGCGCTCACGACACTATAGATGAGTTACAATCAAGTAAATGTCCTTTCAAGGTTATGTACCTACAGGGCTCGAATAGCCTCGGAGCACCAGGGACTTCCTTTCTAGGGTATACCTGGTTCCCCGGCTATTAGTACCCGAGACGGCCTGCGGTTTTAGTCGGTTCGAGTCCGACATGCCACCGATAGGTGGTATCCGAGGGGATTTCCGCACGAAAAAAAAAACAAAAAAAAAATAAAGGGCTCGAATAGCCATGTCTTTGAAGCTCAGCTTTTTGTAAATCGATGAAGGGTTGTGAGTAATAGCATCAGCAGCACAACCCATTAATTCCCATGAACATAATTTACATAATAATAATACATGGAACGCGAAAAATAATACAAACAAAAATCGTTTTTATAGTGTTTAGCACTAAAAATAGGAAAGAATTATGGTGTCAACAAACAAAAAGAGATGGTAGGAAGATTAAATATCATCCCTGCCCATTCCTCCTCGGTATGGAGTCAGTTTTTTGTTTAAAGGTAATTTATTGTGTACGTATACTTCAAGTTTTGACATATGACCTTACGAAGATTTTGCCCCTCCCTAAACTCCCTTAATATGTGGCGTACCTAATTTATGTCTTCTATTTCAAATTAGTATTATTACCCTTTTAAATTTAATCAAAATATTTGTTTACTTCTTACACCAATTCTGTTTTCTGAAGATCCTATGCCTTGTGCTATATAAAAAGGAACAGCCGGGCGGAGTGTAAAGATATGAATATGCTGATGAAAAATTAAGCTTATGTTTTATGTTTTATAATACTTTTTAGAAGAAAGAAGCATACGTTAAGGACCCCAAGTGGTTTCGTAAAAATTGAACTTAGCCAAGAAAACTTTAAAGCTCTGTTACTTAAGTTGCTGGATGCTGCAGAGGACAATAGCTGTTGTTGCGACTCGACAGTACCTACATAATAAGTATAATAACTGCTCACGCTAAGATAATGTCATAAATCGAATGACCCGCGTCCTTGTTTGCGCCTTTAGTTATATAACAATGTATTCAAAGTGAGCACATAAAATTACTAGCTAAGTGATTAATATTAATTTTAAATATTGCTTACCATTGAAGTATTTTATTACATAGTACCTACATTATTTTTTAAAGTTGCCAACTAAAGGTTTAACGTAATGATTGCAAAATTATTTAAAAAAAATACTGACATCGACTTTTATAAATCTGTATGGTAATGTGTTAACATTATGCCGATATCTGCAGAACATAATATAAATTACCTTTACAGAATACTTTATGACTATTAGTAATACATGACTTAGGTATGTAACTTGAACTTTGTTAACAATGACAATTGTTATGCGTAAAGTAATAAATGTATTTTATTAATTTAAGTACACTAGTCGACAACCGCTGCTCCGTCCCTAAAAGACTTAGTATGATGTTAACTAGCTCTTAATCTTCGCCGATAATAAGGATACCAAACGGAAAATTTTCAATTTCGTAGTTTCAGAGAATCATATCGCATTTAACAAGTAAAAAACCTTTTAAATTAACTTTTACACTATCAATAGTAGGCATATTATGTATTTAATTACAATAATAATAATAACTTGACACATCTCACACACGGCCATCTGATCCCCAACTAGGCAGAACCTGTGCTATAGTAACCAGACTGCTGATGAACATACTTATATGTATATTCCTACGTGTAAATGATAAATAAGTTACACCCAGACACAGTTCAAATGATCGTGCTCATTACACAATTAGTTGTTCTCGGTGGGAATCGAACCCACGACCAAAAAAAGGCTGTCACTCAAGACCATTACAGTATAAAGGAAGCACAAGCTAAGAAATGTTTTGCATTTTAATTTTCATTAGACCTAGACTAAGACAAATGTACACGTACTCGTATTATTGGTACGTGACCATTACTAACACTCTATAACACAAAGAGTCAAACACAACCGTGGGAGTGGCTTGCCTCTGCACATAAAATATGGGTCATCTCGACCGGAGCTATACCACAGCCTCGCAGGAAACCGGTATGAAGCAACCTTTTCTTTGCTTTTCACCGAGTGAGGTTACGGAAGCCCAACCCCACCTATTTTTACTCAAAGGGCGGCAACACACTTTTGACTCTTGAGTAGTCACTTCCCATCAGAGGCCCAGGCAATAAATAAACTTGCACTAGGCCACAGCCTCAATTCTGCTATTTTAATATCGTATCAATAGACTGTCGATGGACTGTCGTCGAAATAGTTTTGCACTTTTCGTATTCTACTACCTATGTAAGACCAATGGTCTCCCGATGACTTGTCACTGAACAGCCGCTGATACAAATGTCGTCGATGTCTTTGTAATGGTTTGGTAAGAAAACTAAAAGGTACCTTTTAAATTTGGAAGGGAATGATATATTTAATTTTCCTGACATACCAGCAACCCATTGTCACTTCATCCTCTGTCTATTGACAAATGAATTTAATTTATGTTAGTAGAATACCGATATTTTGACCGATGTCCAGCGCATCTCAATAGCGTGTCAATGGAATAACAGTGTCTTGTACGTTAACATAAAATAGCAGAATTGAGGCCTAGGTGACCCGTCTGCCTTCCTATACTATAAAAAAAGATCATGCGTCGCTCTAGTGCCAAGGTCTATATCAGGCCTTGAACACGACAGTTCAGTTGGTAAAAGTGGATTAAAAAAGTTTAGTTAACCATATCAAATAGACTATATACTATTTATTTGTAGGAGATAACATACAAAACATAGAACTGCCCGATTCGGCTTCTACAAAATATTTATTTTGCACGTGTAACACACGAGTATAACCCGTTGTGGATTACGATAGTTTATAATTTTAGTACTTGTAAATATGCCGCGGCAGCTTTTTATTTCCTTTTTTTATATTCTTGACAACGTGTGTACCTAATACAAAACACCACGATCATCAAAGGGGTAAATAAGGAGTGCAGTGAAAATTATGTAAACAAATTCATATACTCATTTCACATACACATCGTAGTCTATTTTTCTCAAAAAAAAAATAACAATCTCTATTACTAATCTCGTACTTATAAGATACTAAGATGATTAAAAAAATGAGATAGCGTATCATTGGTATGGTATTGGTATCAGGTCATTGCTCAAATCAAATAGATCCCGCCTTTTTCCTTAAATCGACTTAGTGCAAATACTAAACAAAGCAGTAGTAATACATAATACTTGTTTAATTTAACTTATTATCTTTTCCTTAACCAAACAAATATATGAAGATTTCTGAAATAAATTATAGAAAGAAAACAAAACTATTTTTTACACGTGTTTTAAAGACCTCTAATCAAACTTTTTGAAATATATTTTATCTTTCAACAGGTTTAAAAGGCTTGTAGTCAAATAATATGTTAATTCATGGCAATAGTCTGCTTGCTTGATACCTATCGCTTTACCACGAACGCACGTCACGTAGTATGTGTAGGTATACTAATTTATCACAACGGAAAAGTTGCATTGCTTCTTTTCATCTACTATTTAAAAAATACAACCGTGCAACCGCGCAATGTATAAAAGTTCTCTCATTCAGTAGTTATGGTCACATTTTTTAGAAAGTAATCTGTGGTGCCGAGCCACGTTTCGCGCCGAATCATCAGTATTGTGGTTTACTTTTGCACATGGTGTACAGTTTTTTAGTTCATGTAACTGGTTTGTACTCTATTTATTAAAAGTAAGTTAAGTTCTTAAATAGATTTTGTAAAGTTTTTCAAATGTGTGTGACATAATGTCATTGATAAATTTTGATGTGATCGTGACTGTGACGTTGCTTTGGCAAGTTGAATGACTCGTTTTGTAAAGCATTCGTGAACAATTAATTTCAATTACATATACCTATTTATGTATAAGATATCTTTATAATGAATTAACTTTTTTAAACTTCTTGTTTTTAGGTTGGTTTTATCATTACTCAGTATTTTTTACCTATTAATATTATATTTATTTAATAAACGAAGTATCAACAATCTTACGACATAAAACATAATAAATTCTTATAAGATAAGTATGATACCTGTGGTTTTATGGAATACATGCGATTTTTATTATTTCATTTTTTTGTCATGATATTCTTCCTATAGACATCTTACAAGCCAGTACAGATAAAAAAGCAAATAAGAATAGACCCATATGGTTGTCCATATGGAGAGCGACAATTCTTATATTTTTATTGAAATATGTAGCTGAAGGAACATACATCACGAAAACTAGCTTATTAGATCCTTTCTGACCATGGCAGGCAGCGAAAATCTGCCACCGGACAACAGGACCCCATGAGGAAAAACCGTTTGGTGTTTCAATTTGTGTCATTAGAACCAAAAATGTTATTGAACTTTCCAGAAAGTACAATAAGAACAGCAAACGGACAATTTAGTGCTAAAAAGGATACAAAGTTATTAAGTAGTGTGTCCTCCCTCCTTCCTCCTAGCCTTTTGCCCAGACTAGGTTGGGGTCAGTTGAAAGTCTACTACGATACATCTGAACTTTGATTTTTACGCGGAGCGACTCCTTTTTTTTTTTGCGTGCGGAAATCCCCTCGGATACCACCTATCGGTGGCATGTCGGACTCGAACCGACTAAAACCGCACGCCGTCTCGGGTACTAATAGCCGGGGAACCAGGTATACCCTGAGCGACTGCCTGACGTCCAAAACTCAAGTACTCGGCGATATCGAGGTTCTGTAGACTGTTGTTGGACTTTTTAGGGCTAAAACTACCCTTAACGATTTCCACAGATGCTCGTATGACAACCAGCTTAACGTGCTCTCCAAGGAACGGAGGGATCTCGGTGTGTTAAAAATGGTTACCCATCCATAGACTAACCTGGCTAAGATTGCTTAACTTTGCAATGTGTTAACCTACTCGGTTACCACTTAGCCATGAGCCCCTTATATGTATGTAATAATAGTATTTTTATAAAAAAAAGTTCGAATTCCTGACATTGACGACAATAGCGAAGGTAGTAATCAGCCGCTGTAAAGAACTAAATGCAAGTACCTTATTCAAAAAACCTAGGAGGGCAAGGGGTACTCTTCATCTTAGGTATGAAAGGACAAGTAGAGGTAGCAGGTCTCGATAAGTCGTTTGGTACGACGGTTTCAGAGGATTCGGCCGCCGGGGGGTCGTGTTCGGTACGAATCGTCTTCCGTTTACGAGTATATCTATAATATGGAGCTAGTAAGCGACGCCCTGGTCTAGGTTTATTTATATAAGAAACCAAAACTTTATATAAGAAACCAATGACAATTAGATGTAAATCATATATAAAATGTAACCAAGACCTTATTCTGATTCTGCAATTTTTTTATTATTTTTTATTATTATAATATTTTTTTTATTTGGCACAGTTAGACCCGCCGCTAGCTGTTTGAGCCGCCCCATACTATTCCGAACGTAAAAGGGTGATTTAGGAATCCGTACACGCGCCTGCGCCTTGTGTGATTTAAATTATACATAATACTAGCTGACCCGCGCAACTTCGTCTGCGTCTCTCAATAGTAATTAATTTTCTCCGCTCTTGAAACATTCTTCATTGGTGCTCCGCTCCTATTGGTCTTAGCGTGATGATATATAGCCTATAGCCTTCCTCGATAAATAAGCTATCTAACACTGAAAGAATTTTTCAAATCGGACCAGTAGTGCCTGAGATTAGCGCGTTCAAACAAACAAACTCTTTAGCTTTATAATATTAGTATAGATTTTAAAGAGTAATGCGATATCTGTTTTTGCCGCCCTCTTGAAAATGGCGTCCTTGCACGCTCTGCACGGTAATTAGAAGATTTGAAGAGTAATAAACACATAACCTGCTTATATGTAATTAAATATTCATGTTAGTTATTCTTTAAAATAACCGTGTACTTATGCCGGACTCGTACTGACCAAAAACCGCACGCCGTCTCAGGTACCAATTACCAGGGAACCAAATGTACCTATCCTAGAAAGGAAATCCCTGGTACCCCGTTATATCTCGGGCCATCTACGGCGTGTAGATGACTCCCTCCTGTGTGGGAACCCCATGTTCCCTTTGAAACAAATTATAACACTGCGTCACCAGCAAGTCGATGAATGAATAGGGAACCGCAGTTTCTTATACATGTGTAAATAAATAACAGAGGAGATTTAAACTTTTAAAACAAAACTACCTACCTAACCTACATACCAAATTTTATTATTAAACTGTTTCAATACTTCTGTTTAGGAATTCATAAATATAGGTCTACATTTTAGTTACGCTCTCATTTTATCACAGATTGTCTTCGCATTTCTCGTGGTTGTCTCACGATTGTTTATTTTACAGTACAACACGCAGCGAAAGATTTATCGACTACTTTTACTTAATTACCTAATTATAAACTTTTTACTAGGCGTATTCTGCCGTAATTGCCTCTATACCGGAACTCGTTACCATACATACGAGTAGGTATTAAGATGAAATCTAGGTTCACTAGAATTAAGTTGGCTATATTTTCTTATTAATCTGCATATTTAGGATTTTATTTTAAGTTGTTGACAATTACGTATACCTAGGACAGACTATCACTAGACTGCAAGGTAGGTCCAACTTTAAAAAAGAGGTCAATCCTCCAATCGAACTTGGCTGGGCAGCGTTCGGGAAACTGCGTGACCTTTTCTCCAAATACCGTCTTGTCTTTTGTCTTTGTCTTGAGACAAAAGTTTTTGATCATTGTGTGTTGCCAGTGATGAGTTATGGCACACAGACTAGATGGCAATGCTCGGAGTTTCTCTGCTTGATCGAATCAGGAATGAAGAGATCCGCAGACGAACTGAGGTCACTGACATTGCCCGGAGAATTGCCAAACTTATGCGGCAGTGGGTGGGCACATTGCTCGCAGAAAAGGCGGCGGATGGAGCCAAAAAGTTTTGGAGTGGCGACGAAATACCGGAAGACGGATCGGCCTACTCACGATCCGTCCTGCAAGGTGGTCCGATGACCTGAAGGTCAGATGCGGGCAGCACAGGAGCAGTTGTTGTGGAGAACCTTGGAGGAGGCTTAGGTCCAGCAGTGGACGTCTTTCGCTGAGATGATAATGACGATGAAGATTTTATGAAGATCTGATGACCATTTGTACGTGGTCATTAACTTGAAATACTATTTTATGTAAATTGTACTGAACTGGTGTAAATAAAGATTATTCTAATCTATTCTATTCTACATCAAAATTATTAAAGAAATACTGATATGACCCTATTGGTCATATCAGTATTTCTTTAATCAATTTCCATTTCTCGGTAGCATTTTCTTTCCTTTCTTACGTATCTAATACACTTGTGTCGTTTGTTGAATCTGATAACGTATCTGCAAAATTACATGATGTCAAACATAAATATAATAGGTAAAATAAACAACAACAACAACAATACATTAAACACACAAATTTAAATAAAATAAATAAAACTGTAAATGTGTCTATAGCAAAAGCAATATAGGATTATTTTTTGTTTTACCAGCCGAAACCGGTTCAAGCAGTGCAAGCGAAACAGGCAGCCGCAGCGCCGGCAGCATCAGCTCCATCAACTGGAGCGTCAGACCTGAACGAGCAGATCACCAAGCAAGGTGACTTGGTCAGACAATTGAAATCCGCCAAAGCTGAGAAGGCAAAGATTGACGAGGCTGTAAAGAGTTTATTGGAGCTAAAATCTAAATATAAGGCCGCTACTGGACAGGTTAGTTTTATTTATAATTATCTGCCCACCCTTCTTTCAAATAAGATAAGAAAAATGTTGATCGTATGTTTTAAACATCTGTTCTAGTATTTGATTCGTAGCTTGGGAGTGGACATCCCGTGTCTCCAAATAAAACTTTCTAACGTTTTACTATTCATGTAACGATAAATTAAATTTTCTGACACTTTATCAGTGTCAGAAAAGTTATTTTTTGTTTTTATAGACTTTATTTTTTTATTTTATTATTTTAAATTCTTAATATGTAAAAGTACGGTATACAGTTGTACTGACACATTTAATTCGGTGATGCCCGACCCGATACCTTAGTCCCGAAGGCGGACCTATGAATCAAGTTTCTCGAGATGTCTGTTACTAGAAAATCTCTTTCTTTATATTTCTCTTGTAGGATTGGAAGCCAGGTGCAGCGCCGGCTCCTACAGCAGTATCAACTCCTTCAGGTGACGCAATTTTAGACCAAGACATCACCAAGCAAGGTGATTTAGTTCGCCAGTTGAAAGCAGCCAAGGCTGAGAAATCAAAGATTGATGAAGCAGTGAAAACTTTATTAGAACTGAAGGCCAAATATAAGGCAGCAACAGGAAAGGTATGTTTTTGACCTATTTATCAACTGTATGGCCCTGTAACAATATCATCAGATAGGCTTTAACAAGCCTGTCTGATCATTTTGTGCTCAGCTCTCAAATCTATTGCTGAGATTTATTTTCTAACCAGGACATAAAGTTTGTTTAGTGGTTTAGGCGTGAAAGCGTAATAAACATACAAACAAACAAGCTCACTATCACAAGTATAATTTAAGTATGGATGTATTAATTATGTTATTATATAAAACAATGTTTCAATATCTCAGGATTGGAAACCCACTTCGTCTTCATCGGCGGCTGCTCCTGCTCCTTCATCACAACCGTCTGCTGACTCGTCTACCCTGAACCAAGACATCACGAAGCAAGGTGATCTCGTCCGTCAGCTCAAGGCTGCCAAAGCTGATAAGGCTAAAGTAGATGAAGCTGTGAAGACTCTGTTGGAGCTCAAGGCTAAATACAAAGCGGCTACTGGACAGGTTAGTTCATAGTAGCATAGCATTTTACACTAATTAATTTAGAAAATAATAATTAAAGTCCTACCTGACATCTACATTCCAATATCTGTGTTCCAATCACGATAGAACCATCCGTTCAACAATCCTCTTCTGCTATGCCCCACTCATACTTCTGCTTGTGTTCACTCCTCGTTCCTAATCCAATTCGTACTCCTCTAGAACGCTGTCCATGCTATGGTAACCAGACTGCTGATAAACATATATATATATTTCTAAATACATTCATATGATAGATAAAGTACACCCAGAATCACAGAACAAATGACCGTGCTTATCACACAGTTATTTGTCCTGAGTGGGAATCGAACCGACTACCTCTGGGTAGCAGTCAGGGTCACTAACCACTAGACCAACAAGTCAGTCAAGCAAAGAGAGAACGCGGTGTACAGCCTGTCTGTAAGAGGAAGCGATACAGGCAACGAGAGAGATGGATGCCCGAAACTTTGTTCTGTATCTGTTTAGCTAAGCTGCTATTGGCTATCGTGAAGTGAGCATGGCCCCAGCCAACCACAGAGCTCAGAGATAGAGGGAACTATCTATTATTCATCTCTGTCGTTGCCTATACTGCAAGATTGGGGCTCTTGTTATATAAAATAAGAAAAGACAATCGTTACACAATGCACTGCCTCGGAGTTGCAGTGGCAGCGTATGCGACTGGTGTGCTGAGGTCTCGGGTTCGAGTCTCGGGTCGGACCAAATGTTTGTATAATCTGCAAATATTTGTTGTTTGGGTGTTTTCTATGTATAATATGTATGTATTTACAAAAAAAGGTATAAATGTATCCTATCAGTCAATCTAGCTTTCATATTACAAGCGCTGCTTAGTTTGAAACTAGATGGCGTTGAGTGTCAGATGTCCGAAAATATTATTATTATATTAAATATACTATTAATATAGGTTATTAAATTGCCTGACTTGACAAAATATTTTTGTATATTTATTATTTTTTATTTTATTAATTTGTATATTAACGTAACTTTATTTAAAGCAAGCATATGTTTTCGTGGTAAAAGTAAGTGCAGATATCCTTGTTCTAATTTGAATTTTTATTATAATGAAATGTTAACGCCTTATCAATTACATCACGGTCATATTGCAATGCAGTGCAAAATATAGGTATGTCAATGTTTTATTACAATTTTATACGGCATAGCCGTTCCCCTCAGTATCACCTACGTTTCTGTTGATTACTCTACTCCTAGAACTTTTAGCGTTATGTAACTATGTTATGAAACTTTCCTCAATAAATACGGGGTTAGAGATTAGAGAGTTAACACAAAAAAAAAGAACAAAAACTCAGTATATATTTCCGTGTTATGCTTTCAATTAATAACTTATGAACCCACTACTAAATATACTTTTTTGGGTCCTAAAATATATACATATAATATATTTTTTATAGGATTGGAAACCAGCCCCTACCCCCGCTAAGCAATCTTCGCCTTCACCGCAGAAGCCGACGAAGCAATCTTCGCCTTCACCACAGAAACCGACGAAGCAATCTGACGAGAGCCAACTGGTCAAACTCCTGAAGCAAATAGCGGTACAAGGCGATAAAGTTAGACGGATCAAGGCGGAGAAGGCAGAGAAATCCGTTGTTGATGTTGAGGTGAGACCTTCATCTTTATGGTAATCTGTCTGACAGGATGTTCCTAGTTCAGATATCAGCCCCTCACAAAGGTCAACGATGAATATTTTATAAAATACTATAGATTTTAAGTTAACCTTTGTGAAAGATTATAAATATTATCTTTTAAAGAGACACATTCGTACATTTCTGCTCGTATTCAAGTGGACTGAGCGCTTCTTCAATTCACGTAAAGTATTTAGTTTGCACGCAGCAGCAGGTCTAGCTTGTGTCTTTGTTATCAGTCTTTGAAATTGTTGTAGAAGTCCATAAGACTATGGTTCCTTGCGTGAATGTAAAAATAATTTTATTTAGTAAAATATATACCACGCTTCCAAAAAAATAGCCGATCCTCCAAGACATTATCCATGACAAGAAATCCGATGCTAGAATGTGCTGTCGAGATATGAACTTTAATAACACTAAATTATAAGTACTCATTTTTATTTCCTGTACAGGTAAAGAACCTTCTGAATCTGAAGGCACAATATAAGGCAATAGCTGGTACAGACTGGACACCCAACGCCGTTCCTCCTAAAGTCCAGGACCCGGAGCCAGCCAACATGAACGGTGACGGGGACAAGGTGTCCGCCCTCGGCGCTACCATCACCAAGCAGGGCGACTTGGTTAGAGAGCTGAAGACCAAAAAGGCCGATAAGGTAATTTCATTCTTATGATAATGTACAATCATATGAAATATAACTTCTATAGTCTTATCTCTAGTCCAATCCACATTTAAAAAAAATACAAATTATTAAAAAAAAACGTTTGCATACATTGGCTTACAATTATTTATTGTTTATTATTGTCTCCAGGCCACAATAGATGCAGAAGTAAAGAAGCTACTGGAATTGAAAGCACAATACCGTACCGAAACTGGTACTGACTTTGCGCCGCCTGTCCAACCGCGTACACCCAAGGACAAAGAGAAGAAAGAAAAGCCTAAAGAAGCCAAGAAAGAAGTGAAGAAGGAGAAGAAAGAGCCTGTGAGTTGTTGAGATTTGACAACATAAAAACGGTTTCAATAAATGTTTACTGTAAATTTTTAGAATCTTTTTAGTTTCTCTACCGTTTTGTATGTCTTATTTTATTTCATTAACAAGTATTTCTTGCACTGTAATTGTATAGACTTATGTACCATGACAGGATAAAATATATACTGGACCTCTATAGTTTAAGGTCGTTAAGTAGCCGTTTTAGTATAACTTTTAAGTTTATAGTACATATTCTTTCAATGTAGTTTTCTGCACTACATATCATCATCAACAATCTTTAATAGTCTACTGCTGGACATATGCCTCTCATTAGAAAAAAGTTTTTAGCCTACTATACAAGACGTGTTTGCATAGGGTTCGTTTCAAGTTTTCCTTCTCTTTTCAGTGCTGTTGTCCTGCGTAGTTTGCTCCCTTAGTCGATTCTTATGACACCCACGGGATGAACAGGGATGGTGACACTCCGTATTCTTAATCCGTTACCACACGGATGACCTCTACATATAAACATGCAGTATTCCAAATATAATATGCTTTTGTGTGCCACATTTGTTTAGAAAGGGGTACTAAGAGTTTTCTTAACACATATATTTATTAATCACGCCTCTTTTTTGCAACCGATTGACTTACAGTCATGAAAGGATGGGACAGGACAGTATGAAAGATACAATAAATATGATATGAATATTAAAAAATACACTAGTTATTACATTGCATTTCAATAAATGAGAATCTGTTTTCTATCAACAGTCACCGAAACCAGCTAAAGAAGAGTCTTCGTCAGGTGTGAAGAAGGTGACTCGGTTAGGGCTGGAAGCGAGCAAGGAAGTCGACCTGTCGGAGTGGTACACACAAGTCATTACCAAATGTAAGTTTCACAATTGACTTTGTTTTTTTGTTGCTTTGAATAGAATTAAAAAGGGGTCCTGAGGAATGTCGCGTTATTATATTGAATAACCAATTAAATCCAATAGAAAAAGAATAAAGCCCCTAAACGGGTCCAGAATAATTTGATAGTATTTATGCACATTTGTACAAAGGCGTTCTCTAGTTGTCAATCCTGGGTAATGTAGAAATAGCTCAAATTTTCCACCACCAAGCGAGCAAAGAGCTCACTATAGTTTTCTAGAGGTTTTAAATCCATTCAATACAGTCCGTTTTAATGCAGTATGTATTATAATTACTGTTTTTCTAGAATTTTTAGGGTTCAGTACCTCAAAAGGTAAAAAAGTAACCTTTATAAGACCACTTTCTTGTCAGCCTGTCTGTCCGTGTGTTTCTTAGGAACGGGTAGATCTAGCAAGTTGAAATTTATACCAGATACTGAGGTCTATGGTCCCTATTAGGTGTATAAAAATCAAGATCCTGAGTCAACACGATAAAAAGATAAGTACCAAAATTTACCTTAATTTTCAACTTTTTTTATTTTTCAGAATTTTCTTTTTACTTGTGCTGTAAGACCTTGCTTTTAACCAAAATTTACTTTTAAACGAAATTTGGCGTCTTACAGGCAAATAAAGGAGTAATTCAAAAAAGTTGAAAATTAAGATAAATTTTGGTAGTTACAAATTTTTGCAAAAATCTAGTAGGTACGGAACCCTCGGTAAACGAGTTCGGCTCGTACCCGACCGGTTTTTTTTATTTTAGTGTTATTCTATTTTTGTTACAGCTGAAATGATAGATTACTACGACATATCAGGGTGCTACATCCTCCGTCCGTGGTCGTACAGCATCTGGGATAGGATACGCAATTTCCTAACTGCTGAATTCCGCAAGCTGGGCGTCAAAGATGGATATTTCCCTATCTTCGTATCGAAGGTAGTATTATATTTCAAGATCTGTTGGGCTTTATTAAAATTTTAAAATCTTAAATATGTTCATTTTCATCCATTTTAAATGTTATAAATAGTAATTATATTATAGTGAATTCTTCCCGCGTATTAGCTTTTACTGTGTTTTTTTTTCTTTAAGAGTAAACTAGTCGATCATTATTTTAAAAGTTTTATATGTTTCAAAACTGTTTAACTGATTTGTGTTTGTTCACTTTAAGATTATTTAAAACTTTTAATTATAATAATAATATTCCAAAGACTAGATAGTTATCTAATAATATAAAGATGGGTGGCAGGAGCTGGATGTGAGAAGCCCAAAATCGATCTAAGGGGCGTGCAATGGGAGAGACCTATGTCCACCAGTGGACTGCGATAGGCTGATGATGATGATAAAGATAATTATATCTGATGGCAATGATAAAGTATAACCTAAATTATCTGCCAAAACATAAAACTCTTTGTGAGTTTTAGTGTAAATGATCCTTTTCTAACGTTTTACTATTCAGAAAAACGAGATTGAATCTTACGTAAGAAGAAAGAGGGGGGGGGGGGTCGAGAAATCTTATTTATTCTTACATGGGGGTAGGTAAAAATAGTCAAACTCATCGTTAACGTAATTAATGAATGGCCCCCAAGTCAGGATCACTGACCATTAGTGTTTGCTTTAGGCGGCGCTAGAGCGGGAGAAAGCGCACATCGCGGATTTCGCGCCGGAGGTGGCGTGGGTCACGCACTCGGGCAGCAGCGAGCTGGCCGAGCACATCGCCGTGCGGCCCACGTCCGAGACCGTCATGTACCCCGCCTACGCGCGCTGGATCCAGAGCCACCGCGACCTGCCCTTCAAGCTCAACCAGTGGAACAATGTCGTCGTACGTACTCTCCTTCTTACTCGAGCCTAAAAGCGACCTTCATATAAGTAATAGTAACCACATTTTATTTCTGTCATGTCAATCAATGTAGATGTTGGCCTATTTATAAACGGGACCGACTTTTGAGCATTGCCTTCTTTTAAAATTAACGAATTCACGACTATAACCATGGGCTCTCAACTTCCTACCCTTATCCTAATTTTTTTTGGTGTTTCTATCTTTCGTTATCTCACTGATCACTTCTTTCCTAGCCATATCCTCACTTACACAGTCCATCCTCCTTTTCTTTGGACTTCCTCTTCTCTTGGCCCCTTCTTTGTACACTTCCATACGGCGCTCCTAAACTTCTCCTAAACAGCTACGTTCAGGCGTCTCTCATTCGTTCTCTTAATGGCCCAAATTTCAGAACCATACAGGACGGCAGGTCTGATGATAGTTTTATAAATTTGCCCTTTCAGTGTTAAGGGGAAGCTGGGATCAAAAATGAAAAACAGATATTTTTATTTACTTAAATATAGGTGAAATATATGTGTGTAAACTACAAATTAAATAAAGCTAAATCGATTAAACTATTCTAATCTCAATCACAAATAAAATTAACGAGTGTCTTTTTAATAACAGAGGTGGGAGTTTAAGCAACCGCAACCATTTTTACGTACCCGGGAGTTCCTGTGGCAAGAGGGACACACCGCGTTTAGATCAAAAGAGGAAGCTGCAGAGGAGGTCCTGCAAATTTTGGGTAACATATTTTCTAAACTTTTTTTAAAAATCCATTCGATTCTGAGACTGACCAGAAAATGAAACTAGACCGTAATTAATTTAATTAAATAGGTGCTGACCCAAAACAAAAAGAACAGTAGTTGAAACACTTTGTGCGGAAATGATTCAATCCATAAGCTGGTCAAATTAGTACTGCTAATTAACTGTCTTATTCTTTTAAATAATAATATTATAAATAAAGTATTTAAGTACTTAGTACGTTGAAAAGAGGTTCTAATCATTGTTATTAAAAGGTGTTGTGTTTTTTTTCTAACAGACTATAAACGCAGATCATCAATACCTGGTTTCTGGCCTGGCTTGAATAATTTCTATACAACACAGTTCATCTGACGAAGAAAGAAAGTACTACTGAACTCTTTTGCCCTTACCAATTTTCATATATTTATTTTGACATTCTTTGACAGACTTGTACGCGCGGGTATACGAGGAGCTGATGGCTGTGCCAGTAGTAAAAGGGCGTAAGACTGAGAAGGAAAAATTCGCGGGTAGCGACTATACCACCACGGTCGAAGGTTATATACCTGCCAGCGGTAGGGGAATACAGGTCAGTTGCTTTAAGTAAGTCATCATCAACAACAGTCTATAACAGCCCACTGCTGGACATAGGCTTCTCCTTAAAAATGAGGTTTTGGAGTACTATACCCTGGCCAGACGAGTTGCTATAGGGTTTCCTTTCTGTCAAGTTTTCCTTTCTCTCTACAGTGCTGTTATCCTGCATAGTTTGCTCCCTTACTCGGCTCTTACGATACCTACGGGTGGTAACCATATAGATATAGGCATAGAGTGAACAAGAGCCCCAATCTTGCCCTATAGGTAACGAGAGAGATGGATAATACATAGTTCCCTTTATCTCTTTCTAGTCGAGCGCTATGGTTAGCTGGGGAAATTTCTAATCTTCCGCCAGTTCTACGATCAAAATCATGCCTACTTCACGATATCCAATCCCAGCTTAGCTAAACAGAGATAGAGGGAACTATCGAGCATCCATCTCTCTAGTTGCTTGTATCGCTTCCACTTACAGGCAGCTGTACCCCGTGTTCTCTCTATGCTTATATCTCTACTCTGTATTCTTACCACCCCACGGACAATAAATAATTAGATAAAATAACATAATGCTGTCTCTGGAGTCCAGATATCTGTATGAATACGTTTCAAAATTTACGGAAACTTCAGTGACATTGATATCACTAGTTTTTTTTTTACAACTCAACGAAAAGTGCAAGCTGAACTTTTTTTTTAACTTCCAAGGTGCAACTTCCTTTGATAATTCTCTGCTCTATTGAAAAGTGAATTTTTACTTGTAAAAAATAATAAAAATATAACTATTTATCTAGGGGGCGACAAGCCACCACCTCGGACAAAACTTCTCAAAAATGTTCGAGATTGTGTACGACGACCCCGACACACAAGAGAAGAACTTTGTCTATCAGAATTCTTGGGGTCTCACCACCAGAACCATTGGTATGTATTTCATTATTTTCAAGTTTAATAACTCTGCAGTCCTAAAGAACTAAACTTCTATTCATAAGGCAAATTATTAAGCTTATTACTTTTTACTTTAAAAAAATAAATGATTTGACCATTTTAAAGTCAGTATTCAATACATTCTTTATACAAGAACAATACCATTTTGCATGTGCCGCGTTAAACCAGTATTCTCCAAAGGAGTAAACAGGGGTGCGATATATGAAAGTATGGTGAGCAAAAGAGAAAGGCAATAGAATGAAAAGAATATTTTTGTACTGATAGATCGGACTGTAAACTCGAGATGATCAGGGTTACATACCTGTACTACCAGAGGGCCTAGTGTGAGTTCATTTCATATCAACTCGCTCTCGACGGCGAGCGCGTTCTCCTTTGCGATTGGTGAAGATTTCAGTGCCGGCCAATCGCAACGCCGTCACAGTGGTCATCGATAAGATATGAAATATACTCACACACTACCCTTCTCTTAACTATATTTAAAACACTTTACAGGTGTAATGGTGTTAGTCCACGGAGACGATAAAGGTCTAGTACTACCTCCCCGACTCGCCGAAATACAAGCGATAGTGGTCCCTTGCGGTATCACTGCATCAAGTTCCGCAGAAGAACGCAAGAGTCTCATAGAGTCATGCAAGGCCCTCGTTAATGATCTAATAGACGCTGGCATCAGATCAGAGGGAGATTACAGGGATAACTACTCGCCTGGTTGGAAGTTTAACCATTGGGAGTTAAAGGTGAGAAACTTTAAGATAACATCCTTCAGTTTTGTTGAAACTGTCGAAGTTATAGATGGGTAACCATTTTTTTCTACTTATTAACGACTCTGAAGGATAGCTTTAACAGTTTAACAATTTACAACAAATAAACAACAATTTATCGCCTGCGGTATTCGTAGCATGATGTAAATTCTAAAACTAAGAAAAATCATACTTCAACCTTAAAGGCGGGCGGCGTTAGTCATTTTCCTTCAGGTCACATCTGCTCGATTCAACCCTTCAAAACACACCGAAACTTTGTTTGCCCTTCTAATTATTAATTCACCGGTTGTCAGGGAGTGCCGATCCGTGTGGAGCTAGGGCCCAAAGATATCGCTAAAGGCGAGGTCGTGGCTGTTCGTCGTCTGACTGGCGAAAAGCTGACTCTGAAGCGAGCTGACGCTGGCAAGCAACTGGTCGATCTACTGGAGAAGACTCATGATGAAATGTTTGCTAAGTATGTACAAAAATATTTGTTTATTTGATACCTTTTCACGCTTACCTACTAAACCGATTATTATGATAATTTATATACACCATGTCAGAGCTAATAAACGAAATAACGAGAATAACAGAGAAAAGTATTTTGAAAGTCAGAAAAATAACATTAACAAGGTGTGAATTTTTTTTGTTAAATATAATCTGAAATCAATTTAATCCAAAAATCATCGGGTCAGAGGTGGTGAAGGTTTCTAGGGGATTGAGAACCAATTCCTAAAGTCAGCGCAGTCGCCAGAATCTCTGCTAAATATAAAAGCTAAAGAGTGTGTATTTTAGTTAGATAGAATCTCTGAATATCACAATAAAAATCGGATTTGATTATTTTTCCTTTTGAAGGGTCGATTTTAAAGGTTATATTAAAATATACACCTTTAAGAGCAGAGCAGTGATTATAAATGTTAAAAAAACTGAACTGGAGCGAAAAGGTCAATAATTAAATACATTATTCCTAAGATATGTTAGGTATATCTTTATTTAAAATGGTGTAATAAAAATAGTTTATTATTTCCTTGTACAGAGCTTTGAAAGAGCGGAACGAAAGGACAACAGTTGTAGATAAGTGGGCAGACTTTACTAGCGCCCTGGACCGTAAACACGTACTAATGGCGCCCTTCTGTGGAGAGATATCCTGCGAAGATAACATCAAGAACGATAGCGCTAAGTAAGTAATAAAAGTAATAAAAGAAAGTAAGTAATAAAGTCCATTCGCGTTTAGAAAATAGTGACGCATCGATCAAGCTCCGCACCCTCGCCAATCAGGTTCCAAACTTTCGTCACTATTTGGCTCACTATGCTTTAAACCGTTACGAATTGTATACGTATTAGATATATAAATCAGGAATAATTGTCGGTAGGTCATGTTTAGAAGGTGTAATACCCTATTGTTTACTAGGAAATATTGCACTAATCATGGCTATTAATGGATGATCTACTATGCCTACAATACGCTTTAATGGGCCCTCCTGGATATAGGCCTCTCCTTAGAAAGGAGGTTTTGGCCTACTATACCACGCTGGCCAGACGGGTTTAAGATATTTTTTGATTCGTATTGAGTATTCTTATAACCGAAGGAACATGAAAATTACTTTAAAAAAATCAGATTTATAAGTGTCATATTGTGGAATATTGTTTTTTAATTTTCATTAATGTACCTACTTTTGTTTCAATAGAACTGATGACGATCAAACCACTGATGCCAAAGCTCCAGCAATGGGTGCCAAGTCTCTTTGCATACCCTTCGAGCCGCCGCGACAGCTCACCTCCAACGACAAGTGCATTCACCCCACTTGCTCCAATAAGCCCAAGTTCATTACCATGTTCGGCCGAAGTTATTAATAAGAGTAACTTTATGCAATAAGCAAGTGATTGATTTTTACAAAATAAATAAATTATTAACTTTTGTCTTAATAATTCATTGTGTTCTTTTTGGTGTCCCGCGAATGTTGCGCTATCTTTGTACCGGTAGACAGATAGAAGAATAAAAACTAATACTGGCTACTTATTTATGGGTATTTCAAAGTTTTACATAATGAAAAACTTGTTTACAAAAAAGGGCGGGTGACTATTGTATTTTAAAATTAAACTGTTTAACCTATTCAATGAAAGGTCCGATTAACCAATTCAAAGAGAAATTTATACTACCATAATCAAAAATTTTGATGAACTAATTTGAACATAAAACGATTATTGACTTAACTAAAATATAGTTAGGTACTTAATGTTATGTACTTATTCAGCTTTCTGGCGTCTAGGGGTAAAAAGTCACAAGATTCGCATTGATATGTAAAAATTATCGAAGGCCAAATAAATTTTATAAATTCTATCATGCCAATTTTTTTTTTATTACTTCCTATCTTATAAGTTGAGCAAACACTTCGGAGGGAACGGTTTACTTGAGAGCCATGCTATTTGAAATGCGCAGTCAACGCAAGGCAAGCATCCGAGCAATCGTCCCTGCCTTGCGCCGTCCGCATAGTCCGACAGCTTGCGAGCCAGGCGTTTCTTAATAGTTGATTTAGTGAGTGTCAACAGAAATCCATATGAAGAATACTAAACGCATGAGGCGAGGCAGTATGGATCGAGTGGCGTTATGCTTTTACTTTTAATCAAATTGTAGGTAAGATAAAAAAAGCAGTACAAGTTAGACATGAATGAATGATAATAATGAATAATGGAATGTCAATAACATTCGATTTTTGCGTATGTAGGTTAATGGGTTGCTAGGTAGGTAGGTTAGACGCTATTTAACAGTAAATCTAGTATTTCCATAATTATTACGTAGGGAATGGTAGCTATATATAATAAAATAATTACTAGATTTACTATTAAATAGGGTCTAAATGCATCGTTTGACGCTTAGTGGCAACAACGCGTGAGTAAGTAGTAACTCTAAACTACATACGAACAAATCGAATGACAAATCACCGGTCTTTCACAGTTCGATGTGATTTTGTCAAATGCCTAGTACAAGTATATCTAAAGGGGAATAAGAATCCGGGCACGCCGTTAATGCGGCGGTAAGACCTGTTATGGAGGATTGGCTTAAGCCGGTATGACAGACACAGGTGATCACCGGGAAGGGATGCTTCGGAGATCATCTGTATCTGATCCGCAAGGAGCCAACGCCCTGAGTGCCAACATTGCGATGGCCCGACACGGCGCTCCACACGCTAGCAAAATGCCCGGCGTGGGTAGAGCAGAGGCGTAACCTTTTGGCAAAGGAGTGGGAATTCTCTCGCTCGATAACATGATTGCGGCCATGGTACGGAGAGGGAGCGCGTGGGACTCCGGCGTCTCCTTCTGTTATGTCTTAAGTTATGCGAAGGAGATGGCGGAGAGTGGGACCGGGAGAGGTTTAGAACTGGCCGACAGGCCCGGGAACGGGCCCGGTACCGCAGAGGACTTATCGCCGGAGGTCGCAGAACGACTTCCGTCCTCCATAAGTGCAGGCCTGGGAGTGACAGGTGAGGCCCCTCTGTCACCCTAGCAGAAGCAGGGCAGGGTGGTGCCACGACGCGCGCGCCTTCTAGGGAGAGAATGGGAATACCAAGGTGGTCATCTGTAAGCCGTAGATATCCCGGTGTCCGTCAGGGTACCATTCGGATTTCCTTCCCCGGTTACTGGTACCCGACGCGGCGTCCGGTAGGTAGTATCCAAGGGGATTTCCGCACAAAAACAAAAGGTATCAAGTATCAAATAATGGATTTTATTGCTTATAAAAATATATTTTGTTATTCATACTTGACTAGTATTTTAGTTTTATTTAAATCTTAACACAAGACTGTTTACAGATTTCAATAATTGTGAAATATCTAGAGGCACTGTTATTCAAAAAGCACTGATTGCAGAAGTCAGCTCACACCAGTGTTCTGGCTTAAGTTGCTTTATGCTGTAATTCAAAGGGTAGCAATAGTTAAATTTTGGTGTCACCAGCCAACAAGCTCTACTTCATCTGTCAACAGTTCTTTTTTCCTAACAATCCATTGTTACAAAACTATTCATATCATTAAATAGCTCTTTCACTTTTTAAATGTCATACATTTTTTTAACAATGACCGAGAAGTCAACCTTGAGAGTAGACAAACTGAAATAGTTTTGTTGTTCTTAGGCCTGTATTTAATTGTACTAGATCAATATTTTATGTAATAGGTGCAACTGGATAGCTTGTTTCTTTTTATTATTCATTGAAGTAATCTCCATTCTCATAGCCATTCTGATCCCAAGCTAGGTAGAGCCTGTTTAGCACAGGCTCTACCAATTAAACTGCTAATAATTATACTGCAGATTTCTCAATGCATACATATTACAAATAAATTACAACTAATTTGTCTTGGGCCGGATTTGAACCCACAACTTAATAGTCAGGATCACATATATGAAACGGATGCAAAGAAGAATCAGAACAACAATTTGTGGTTCAGACGAAGTGTTGTCCCATGTGGGAATTGAATCCACAACTCTCAGCACAGTACAAAGTGACATATTGTTTGAAATTATCAAACCACTTCCTAATAGTTTACTTGGTTATTCTTTATTTTGAATGCCATAATGAATTAGCAAATACAAAGCAAGCTATCTAATTCCACCAATTCATTCTATTTCTATTAAATTCTATGGAAAGATTTGTACAAAAATTATGTTAATGTGTAAATGATTAATAATAATATAACTTGGATACCCTGAGTTTAGTATTTCTTTCTATCATCTAACTTTAATGTCAGTAAATAAATATTCATTAATTCACTCAAACTTCAATCTTCAACCAATGATAATACTTTTTTAACATGACAATGGGTTTCTTATTTATTTTCCACTAGTGTCTCATTTACCTTTAATTTAATTTTGAATATTTAGATATATTGTCTTCTAATAGTTTTATTCTTCTCTTTTTAGAATTCAAAAGTTGCACAAATTTACCATACAAGATTTCTTCTGAAGCCTCCTTTAGTTCTGTGGCTTTTTCTAAGCTTTCCACACATTTATCTAAGTCTTGGCTAAGTTCTTCATTTTTTAAATTTACAGATTTAAGTTTACTCTTCAGTTCAAGATTTTCAAGTATTAAAATATCAAGTATGCTGTCTTTAGAAACTGGCACTTCATCACGATGTACAACTACAGAGCCGTGAACTAAAGCGCCAGACCGTAATTTCTTCTTCCAGCTGAAAGTGGCTGCATTGTTATCATCAGCATGTAAGGTGAGATCAAAACTATAGTCAGTATCAGTATGTTTCGAAAGAACTTTCATAACATTCTCATTATACACTTCTTCAGTCTCAATAACACGTTCTCTGTTCTTTTTTGCTAGTTCATGCGAAAATTCTCCCGACCAACTGTTATTATCTTCATATATTGTGATTGCAAATAAATTTTTTTCATTTGGTTTGTATAATATTTTAGCATACACAGGTTTATTATTTATATCGTATTTCGTAATTAATGTTGTTATTTCCATGTTTTAAATATATCCGTCAGGGTATTACGTTTTTTGTGATCTATACCTAGCATAGACATGTAAGTTTAACTTAAATTCTTAATAGGTTTGTTTGCTTTTTATTAAGCCGATTGAGGCACTAATAAGTTAATAAATAGCTTAGTAGCCTTGTAAAGTTAATAAGTTAGTTTTAGCTTGCTAGCTACCTAAACACAAGCCAATGTCATTAATGTCATCATATATCTGGATAGGGATGTCGATCCGATGCGATACTTATGTGGATCGATACAATGCAATACGATCCACCCGTTTTTTGTATCGAAATCGATCAATGGCTTTCGATCCGTTAACAGATCGATACTCTTTTACTGAGGATCGGTTCGAAAAATTTTCGTTTTCAATTTGTATTGAATTTAGGGGTAAACAAATTTTAACCCAAGATATCTAGTATAGGTACCGCGTTCCTTAACTACAAAATATGGTGTTAGCCAATCATACATTAAATAAAAACCGTATTGGCCTGGATCCAGAGCGTGTTAAACATAATCGTTTAAGAGTACCTCTTAGATTAGATGGACTATGTGGTTATTATTTTTTGAGCCCATAAAAATATTACATAATGTTTTTTTTCTTTATAAGCAAACGCGGTATTCCACGTCATTCTTCTATTCCTATACACTTATCTTCAATAGTCTTTACATTTATAACTAGCTAGTATCCGCGACTTCCTTAGCGTTTAATTTGAAAAGCGCTGCCTAAGTACTGTACGTGACTGCATCCATGAGGCTTAGGCTTGGAACTTTAAGTGGTCGGTTTTAAAGTAGGTACGCGTACTTACTCAGCTCGACGTCACTGACTAACGTGAAGTTTGCTAACACTGTATCGCAATGTCATTAATGCATAAATGATATGATATCGTTAATTAATTATTATTTTTTTGACGTTATCAATAGTGGCATCTCTTTTCACCTTACGTAATTCCTAACATGCGTACAAGTTCGACAATCACTCATTTTGAGAATTTTTATCATCACAAGCGTTGTGCATCCACGGGCTAGCAAACAGATTATTAGACAAATAGATTATTCTAATTTGATTACACTCTTAAACTTACGACTTGCAAACACAATTAACAAAGGGATGCCATTAAAGACGATGAGAAATTCGACGACAAATCGAGAGATATACTATGTCTAAGTAGCTTTAATAGCTACGTACCTAGAGTAGGTAGGTAACTACCTACTTTTATTTTTACCTATACTACAACTACTGTGCTGTACTGTTACAATTCGGAATTAAATAAATTGATTTTTATTACTAAAGGATCTACCAATAGGGATGACCTGGTTTTGACAGCTCATAGTGGCCATGTGTGATGATGGATCTTTGACGTCTCTTGACATTTATGTTCAGTAAGGTTTGCCATTTTATCATGTCACGTTTCACTTTAAACCAACGCTTGGAAATTGTCCAAAACTTCTTTAAAAGTGACGAAGGAAACCCTGTTACTGTGAATGGCGAGCGCTATAACTCGATGTTAACCGAATATTTCTTTCCGGAATTTGATGATATTGATGCAGACGACCTTTATTTTCAACAAGACGGTGCACTACCTCACATTACTCGAGTGAACATGGAATTATTGCGTGGAAAGTTTGGTGAGTCGTTAATTTCGAGAAATGGACCGATCAGTTGGCCACCAAGACCGTGTGACTTAACACCTTTAGACTATTTTCTTTGGGGTTACGATCAATCTAAAGTGTACAGCAATAATCCAGCTACAATTCGTGACCTAAAAACCAACATTCGACGAGCCATAGCCGACATACCGGCCGAAAAGGTGTACCGCGTCATCGAAAATTGGCGTGATCGGGTGACCGTCTGCAAAAAGAGCCGCGGCGGTCATTTGGCCGATATATTATTTAAAACATAAATTGCATAAAATTATCTATCAAATAAATCAATCGGATTCATTTTTCATAAAAAATTGTGTGTTTTATTCAATTTTTAAACCAGGACGTTCTTATTGGTAGACCCCATACTTGATCGTAGCCTAATAATTCACGCAAACAATAGGTATATAAAATGTTTTTAGGCTCAGTATAATAATAAAAGATTATAAAGTGGCATTGTTTTGAATACAACACTTTATCTATGTTATTTTGTACATTAAAAAATATCAGACGAAGTCGCGTCACAGAGTTCAGAAGGCCAATTATTGTCGTAATAATAGTTCAGTCACAATTTCAATCTCACTACTGTCCTAAAAGTTATTTCGTAGTAAAATAGTAAAGTATTGATAACACTATGTTTATAATCGGGTCAGGTTATATAATTACATTACAGTCAACGTTGGATGTTTAATACTTTACTACGAAAATACCTTTTATGATAGTTGTGAGATCGAAAGTTGATCGGAACTGAATTGAGACAGAACTTTTATTACGAGAATTGGTCTTCAGATCTCAACCTATTGCGCTCAGGTAGTAAAAGGGGTACTCAATCCTTAAAACTTCATTCGAAACATTTTCTTCGCAAGTTTAAATATTATCAACTCAGCTTGTATCAACGACTCAACACCTTGTTTTTGAAGCACAAAATAGTTGAGTTGTTTTCAAAGAAGCATAGGTTACAGTGGTTGATGGGCTAGGTCCGTAGTGCATCCTACGACTTTCCACGTCGTTGAACTCAAATATGTACTTTAGGCATCGCAGTCACTGTTATATACTGTTTAGATTATTTCTTCCTCAATGTTGTTTACGTTCGTGGTGGCATCGTGTGGAGTTATCTCCAACAACCGCATTCTTTTCTTCTTTGCATTCAAAAGTTGCTCAAATTTGTCGTAAAAGCTCAATTCTAAAGACGTTTTAATTCCCACAAACTTATCCAAGTCTTTTTTGCACTTATCTAAATTAGCGGCCAGTTCCGCGTTTCTCATGTTGACGGACTCTACAGTTTTTCTGAGATCTTGATTTTCTGCTAATAAAAAGTCCAGTATAAATGCTCTGGTTTCTTTAGTGTCATCACGATGGACTGGGACACAGCCGTGAACTACTGTGTCCGTTCCTTTGATTTTCTTCTTCCAGCTAAATGTTGCAGAAGTATTGTCGTCCGGTATCAAAGTGAAACTATAAATAAATTTAGGATCTTTACGTAAGGCTTCTTTTACGTTAGCCTGATACTTTTCTTCGGTTTCGTCTAACCTTTCTTGGTACTTTCTCGCAAATTCATAAGAAAACCTGCCTGACCACGCTTTTTTACCGTCATACATTTTTATGTTGAATAAGTCATTTTCATTTGGTTGCCAGAACACTTTAACGTATAGAAATTTCTCGTTAATATTAAATCTCGTCATTGAAGGCGTTTTTTCCATTTTATTATTAATACTTGCGTCAATTCACTTGTGGATTTTATTGTTTTGAAAACACAGAGTACATTGTAATATACTGAAATTTGAAAAGGACATGAAGACGTTTGAGTGACGGTTGTATAAACAAAATCATTAACAATAGATATGAATAAGGACATCATAGATTTTAATAGACTTGCATAAAGCTACACATACATTATATTTCATCATCATCAACAGCCTATACTAGTCCACTGCTGGACATAGGCCTCTCCTTAGAAAGGAGGTTTTGGCCTACTATACCACGCTGGCCAGACGGGTTGGTATAGGGTTTGTTTCAAGTTTTCCTTCTCTTTGCAGTGCTGTTGTCCTGCGTAGTTTGCTCCCTTAGTCGGCTCTTACGACACCCACGGGATGAATTGGGGTGGTGACAATTTGTATTCTTAATCCGTCACCACCATTTAAATATTTATAAAATATATAATAACATATAGGGTAACTAGGTAAACACTGAGTCACTTTTAATCGCACATATCTCAAAATCTAACCATCAGATTGATTCGAAATATTGTATCAGAATATTACTAATCCACTGACATCAAATAATGGAGAGCTGAGTAAATAATGTTTTTTTTTAAAAGAGTATAATATTGATCCACTGTGTACATGATGTGTGATGAACAATGAATCACCCCCTGGTTAACAATAGGTCTAGAGGCTTTTATAGATAAATAAAGACATTTAACTATGAAATCATATCAAGAATAAAAAAGTAAATAAAAAAATTATCCACTTATGCTGTGTGAGTAGGTATCATGAAATTTGAAAAAACCAACCAACTGATCCACCGTTTACCGGTTATCCTACTACACATATTGTATTAAACTGATGTCTCTTGACGACATAATTCAATCAAAACTTCAATCGAATAAAATTCTGTTTAAAATATTAGCTTTTGAACACTTAGCAACATCATTCCTCATTTCCTTACCTTCTTACTCTTTTCCCCAATTTATTTGGGTTAGGCAAAATGAGTTGGGGAAACGGAGAATGTTTGTGGGACTCCCGAAGAACCGATCTACCCACTAAACCCCACGGCGGTGTACCACGGCAGTTGGGAGGAGCTCCAGGAACGCATTGGCGGCTTCTGGAGTCCTCCCTGCTATACCCCACGATTGAAGCACATCCTAGGGTGACCATGATCACCCACAGGGCGGGATGCTGCCGCGCCCCTTACCGCTCTACACAGTAAGAGGCGCAACAGCGCCCACCTTAGACGACAACCCCTCGGTGGCACCGGATTGTAACCTGCCTCCGGTCCAACATGTAGCCGCAGCGACCATTAGGGAGCTAGCGACCTCTGCCGCCTCCCTTCGCTGCTTCCTTAGAGCGGAAACAGCCCTCTCCCGATCCCGATCTGATCTTTCCTTAGTATAACGTCCTCGCAGAAGGAGACCGCAGCTGCCCCTCCCTCGCCACTCGCCAGCATTGCAGCGATCAATGCTGGCGGTGATAAGTTTCGTCCAATCTGTCCGACCAGTCTCGATGCTCGGACTCACATGCATGGCAGTCTTCCAGTCTTGTGCTGGGTGGATTCCCTGTCAGACACATAGTGGTGGCACTGTGCCGTTTGATTCAATTTAGATACTCACCGAAGCAACTGTGCGCGGTGAGCATCTGAGTCAATCGGTAGGTGACACAGTCGTTCCTCTCTACCAACGCTTCGAAGCTCGGCAGGATGGCACTGACGGCGCGTTGATTAGTACAGCCTTGGATTTCGTGCCGTGCTTGCCACGCACGCAGCGCATACTTATGATCTGGCGCGGCCTCATAAGGGTACGCAAAAGACAAAATTAGTTGCAGGTGTCAATGGGTTCTGGTAGGAACTTATCATTAGGTAAGCCATACGGATCGTACGGGGCTATCGTACGATCTCGTTTGAGGCGGCGACGGTCCTGGTGCGATATCCACCCTTCGACATTCGGCCAGACATGGACGCGATGGTCTATGACCAAGTTCGCTATGTCGGTCGAAATGGTAAAGGGGCCGCGCCAGATCAGGTTCCCGGAATGCTAAGGCGGAACGCGCATACTGCTGGCATACGCCAGCATTAATCGCGGCAATGCTGGCGAGTGGCGAGGGATGGGCAGCCGCGGTCTCCTTCTGCGAGGACGTTATGCTCCAGAAGGAGACCGCAGAGCAGGATCGGGAGAGCGCCGATCCCGCTTGAAGGGGACTCGGCAGAGGTCGCTAGCTTCCCAATCGCCGCCTAAGGGTCGCTGCAGCCACATCTTTGGGCCATGTAGCCGATGCAAACGACCCGAGACAGATGACACTCCGGTGAGGCCCGGGGGGTGTCGTCCATGGCGGGGCGCTGTTGCGCCTGCTGCTGTATAGAGCAGTGAGGCGCGGCAGCCTCCCACCCCAGGGTGACTACAGTCACCCCAGGATGTGCCTCAGACATGGGGTACGGCAGGGAGGACTCCAGAAGCCGCCGATGCGTTCCTGGAGCTCCTTCTGAATGCTGAGGTAGGCCGCCGCCGGGTTTAGTGGGTAAATCGGTTCTCCGGGAGTCCGACACACGCCCTGCGTTTCCCCTACGGAGGGTACGGTGCGAAAAGCATTACCCGCCTTAACCGCGTTAACAGCATAAAAAAAGTATTCCGTGTGGACCTTGGAGTTTAAAAGATATCCTAATTATATCTATATATATATTTTCCGTATCTAATACGACACCTTCCGATAAACTAATATCTTAACTTATACCAACTCATATCAACTTTAGATCAAATTAAGATATTATACAAACGACGTAGAAACAATACCTGGCAACAATAACATTAAGTTATAGTTTTTGCTACTGACATCCGGTTATTATGTCAATGATACTTTTATAACGGCTCTTTGAAAGTTTCGAGGATAATTTTTATCAAGCCATATTTGAGTTGGGTGTCTCAGTCCCGAATCCCGAGTCCCGGTCGGTTTTTAAAATATCAAGTGTAAAAATATTAACTACGTTCAAAAAAAGGAGATGTTTGTTTCTTTATTTTTTTAAAACAACTCCCGCGTTCGGAATATATCCTGTGTCGCGGGAGACTTTACAAACATTCGTGAAGCGGATACAAAGAACACCCAGACTCAGAACAACTATTTGTGGATCACACAGTGGAGTCCCATTTCGAACCCACAACACTCAGCGCCGTAGCAAACGGCGAGGTGACCGTTTAAACCACTACGCCATCCGTGTAGTCAATCGTCTTTTTTGTTTGTTATGTATAAATTTAGTAATGTACAAAACAATTCCGCAAATTCTTTTTTTTTATTTTGGAGGTTATACTTCCCCTTTGGTCCCATTTAAAGAAGAATAAATACCGTCCCTAAGGGTGGATAGGGAATGAAGAATAGGTACAATTTATAACAATGCAATGTTGTTATCGCAATGAAGCTGGTGATACTTTTTAATACATAATTTAATGGGACTATTGAGTTGTCTAGCAATTTACTAGCAAAAGATATATTTATATTTTTTCGCCGCGTAATGCGTCTCGCTGTTTGCGCGTGTAATGGCCGACTAATATGTGTGTGTTCCGGCCTGTCCATACAGCGAGCTGGCCGACTATGAGTAACACAGTTATTTTGCTAGCGAGACTGTGTCCGATTTTTTATACGTCTATGCACTCAGGGATCATTTACCTTTGTAGCAGTAAAAGAATTTTTAAAATCCGATCAGGTATCCCAAACATACAAACTCACAAACTTTAGGTACCTCTTTATAATATTGGTATGGAAGTGTAGATGTGTTTTATTAAATGGTGATTTGTTTTTACGAATATGTCCTGATATGCATTGCAATCGTCCCGATAATTTGCCCTTCAAAAACACACAAACTGCTATATACTGAAATGAAGTAATCAATTCATAATAGTATCAGCATAGATAAGATAAGAAAATATTATTACACACATTTACTTATGTCATATGCTTTTTCTTATATTTTACTTTGGAGATTTGGTGTTCTTAGAAAATATAATTATAAATATTATTTTACTTAATTCTCTTTCTTTTGTTCTCCGTAATTTAATAAATTAGGTACAGTCAAAACTCGTCGTTTCAATGAGAATAAGTAATCGCAAAAATTACTAAAAGAATTCGGATTGGGTGAAAAAGTGCTCACGGAGCATTTCATATTCGGAATACTTAACGTTTATATATAGAAGAAATGTAGATGGCTACACTTTTAAGGGTGTTTCTCATTTTTCGTGCAAATTAGGCGTCCATTGCAAAAATCTTATTTTTTTCAATAAATATCTATGATTCTTTTAAATCAAATCATATGTTATAAAATTGTGCTTATATGCATGTAACATTTACTGTTCCACATAGCTTATTTAATGTGTTATACGTAAAAAACTTTGCTAAATCTCATTTACTTCGGTGGCCACTTGCTATTCTCCCTATTAAATTTGTATTTAAACCTAAAATATAAATATCAAACCTTAACAAAGTAATAATTTTAAGAAACTGTATTAACAAGAGCAACGTTTGAACTTAAAATAATCAATATTAACTCAACAATACAATGGAATTTTATTTTATTTATGTTTAGCACATTTTTTTTCTGATAACCATCGGTTCGTAAGAAAGTGTAAATTGCAGTCTGGGTTTGCCCTTAAATGCTTCTTTGCTGTTACTATACCCCGCGCACATCTCTCATTTGGCTGGCAAACATCGTAGCAGGTGCATGCTTGTTCGTGGAAAAAATATATTTTCGTTTAGAGTTTTGCGGGAGGTGATTATTCTGGAATCGTACTCTTTCCTATCGTCCACACTATTAAGTGAGTATTTATGATTTTTTTCAGTGCGCAGCTAATTTTCAATTTTAATAGATACCTTTGTCGTTTAAAATATGCATTAGGTCCGTTACTTTGATATTTTTTGGGAAACTATGGATAAAGTATTCAAACCTCATTACATTCTTTCTCAGTGCCTTCGTTTACCGTCGTTTTTTTGAGCGATGGTGATGA